CTTCCCCTCCTCCCCCCTCCACTTAGATATGACCACCTTGAAATGTTTCAATATGAGGATCTCTCAGATGAATTTGTGTATTGAGTAGGGAATCCTTTGTTTAATTATAGCTGTCCAACTTGTAAGTTCAAGGAAGGGGTATAAACAAGAGGGCCTCTCATGCCTCTATGCTGCAGACATCACCTGCCCCAATTTTGTTTCCGTTTGTATAAAATATCCTTTCTATTCCTTTACTTTCAGTGTGTGTGTGTGTGTGTGTGTGTGTGTGTGTGTGTTTATTTTGGTCTGAAGTGGGTCTCTTATAGGTCTCTTATATATTAAATCCATTCAGCCACCCTTCGTGTTTTGATTGGAGCATTTAGTCTACTTGCATTTGAAATAATTATTCACAAGCATGTAGTTATTGCCACCTTAATGTTTTCTAATTGTTTTTTAGTTCTCTGTTCCTTTCTTATTCTCTTGCTCTCTTCTCTTGTTAATGACTTTTTATATTGTTGTGTTTAGATTCCTTTCTCTTTATTTCTTCTGTATCTCTTGTAGATTTTTGGTTTTTGGTTACCATGTGTTTCATATATAACAACTTATGTTTAGAACAGTGTATTTTAAGTTGATGGTTGCTTAAGTTTGAATGCATTCTAAAATCAGTACAATTTTTACTTCCTCACTAATGTTAATGTTTTTGTCTTATGTGCTTGTTTGTATTACTTAATTTATTGTTATAATTACACATGATCTTCCTACTTTTGTATTTTAACCTTTGTACTAGCTGCATAGTTGATAGATCCACATTGAACATCCTTATAACCAGTGTTTTAAAATCTGTATCTGCTAGATTGCTTGTCTTCATTTTGCTTACTTTTTTTTTCCTGGAGTTTTGTTCCATTCTTTCATTTGGGGCATGTATCTTTGTCTCCTCATTCTGGCTGACTCTGTGTGTTTGTTTTTATGTATTAGGTAGATCTTCTATGTCTCCCAGTCTTCAGAGAGTGGCTTTGAGTAGCAGGAGTCATTTGAGGTACAGCGGTGCAGACTCCCTGGTCACCTGAGCTGGGTACTGCTAGAGTGTCCCTTGTGTGGGTTCTATGTGTCCTCCTGTTGCACTTGAGCCTTGATTGCTGTTGGCATGTCAGTGAGTGTTGTTGACCTCAGGCTGACTGGCTGTGAGGGCTGGATATAAATACAGTAGAGCCATGATCAATGTGGCTCAGTTGGTTTGGCATCATCCCACAAAGCAAAGATCACTAGTTCAATTCCCGGTCAGGGCACATGCCTAGGTTGTGGTGCTCCTTGGTCAGCGTGCATGTGAGAGGCAACTGATTGATGTTTCTCACATCGATGTTTCTCTCCCTCTCTTTTCCCCCCTCACTTCCATTCCCTCTCTCTCTAAAAAAGAGGCTTTTGTTTAAAAAGAAATATATACATAATACACACACAGTAGACAAGCTGTTGTGTGGGGCCTGAACCCACGGAGTGGGAGTCACTTTAGCAGTACTTTGGTGCCAGCCAAGTCTGCCCTTCTGGTGTGTCATCCGTGGAATTGGCTGGGTGGTGTTCTGGTCTGAAGTCAGCCACCAGGTGTGTTGGTTATGGAGCCTCTTAAAAGGGGCTCTGGTACAAGTTAGGTCATGTGCCAACTGTGCCTGGTTTGGGGCCACCTGGTAGGACCTACAAAGTGATCTGCAGTTGGTTGCTGCTTATGTTGAGCTTGAAGGCACTTGGGAGAGGCTATGTTGTGAACTGAGGCCCAATGCCACTAGTAGTAGGCTTGGGTCCATTTAGTGGACACCACGATGTGAGCTGAGGCCAGCCTCCACTTGTGCTGGGCTTTTAGCCACTTAGTTGAAGTTACATTCCAAGCCAACACTGGCTTCAGCTTATGCCAGGCTTGGGGCCATCTGATGAGAGTTACAATGCAAGTTGAGACCAGAGACTGCTTGTGCTGTGATTGGGCCACTTAGCAAGAGGTTATGCTGAGGCCAACCAATGCTTGCTTGGGATTTGTGGACCTTTGAGAGATTTTAGGGAAGTTCTCAATGGAAGCAGAGGCAGGCTGTTCCTGTGGAAGAGCTGGAAAAGCTGGTGGAAGTGGCTCAGGCTAAATGGGCAAGGTGGGTGGAGTGGGGTTTCAGGGAATCACCAGGGCCAGAAGAATGGTATTAGCCAGGTTAATGGAAAACTGAAATTTGGTGCCTTCCTGCCTGTACCTGTCAGCTGGGTGAGAGGAGCACTCAGCACAGGAGCAATGGTGCCTGTTGGCACTTCCATCCCTAGAGAGCACTGCCCTGATACCTGCAACTCCCCAAATGTCCCTGGTGCTTTTTGAGATGCTTCCCCTGCACTGAAGCCCAGAAGAAGTGAGTTTGTGAGTGAGCAAGTCTATGTGTGGCCCCTCAGGTGGAATGCCTGGGGTTCCAGCAGCCCTCCATCTTACTTGGATGCAATTCCCACTGATTTGCACGGTCAGATGTTATGAGGACTCTTCTTGTCAGCCCTGGTGCTCTGGGCTGGGGAGTCTTGACCCCTCACTCCTGAAAAGGGACCTCTGTAGCCAACATATCCCTCCTGTTTCTTAACTGCCACACTGTGGGTGTGGGTCCTGCCCATTCTGTGCTCTGTACTTCCCACCATTTTTATCACAGCTTCTTCTTTACATCCTTAGTTATAGGACTTCTGTTCAGCTAGTCTTCAGGTGGTTCTCAGTGATGGTAGTTCTAATAATTTAGTTGTAATTTTCATGTGGTTGTGGGCAGAGGCAAGCACAGAATTTACCTAATCTGCCATCTTGACTGGGAGTAGCAAAGTATCTGCTGCAGAATAGGTTTTTCTTTGGGCTTTTTTTTTTTAACATTCAATATTATTTTGTATTGGTTCCAGCACAATGGTTAGACAATTCTTTACTTTATAAAGTTTTCTCCCTGATATTTTCAGTGCCCACTTGGCCCCATACATACTACAATATTAATGACTGTATTCCCTATGCTGTACTTGACAATCCTGTGAATATTTTGCGACTACCAGTTTGTACAATCCCTTCACCTTTTGCACCCAGTCCTTCAACCCTCCTCCCTCTGGCTACCACAAGTCTGCTCTCTGTGTCTATGAATCTGTTTTTGCTTTGTCTATTCATTTATATCATTCTTTAGATTCCTTTCTTGTCTGTGGCAATTGCTGTTTTCAGGTTGCTGGTTTCTCTACTGCCCAACACAGGACATATGAGGCAACAAACAAGACCCGGGGATCTCACTACCCTGTCATTCCTCAGATCCTGAGGTTCTTAGACAGTCTGTCTTTTTTCTGCCTACTTTTCAACATCTTATGCTGTTTGTTTTTATAAATAATGTCCTCCTCTACATAGCACAAGAAATAGAAAGACATGCATCTACTGTAGCTTGTCTGGAAAAAGAAGTTTTCTTGTGGTTATCTTTTAAAAGATTCCTTGTCTTTTAGAAATAATACTAAAATATTTAGTGATAAAATGTTTGATATTTTCTTCAAAATAATTCAGAAGGAAGAGAGGGTGACGAGAATATAGATATAAAGAGATTAATCATGTACTCATAACTGTTCAAGCTGAGTGATGGGTCCAAAAGTGTTCATTATATTGATCTCTGCTTTTATGTAAGTTTGAGCATTTCTATCATAAAAAGTAAAAAAGAAAAGTTACTGTTCCTCCTCTGTGAAAGATGGGCTTGAGGAGAACAAGATGGAAGCAGGAAGATTTGTTGGGAAACTGTAACAATAGTCTTAGTAAGAGACAAAGGCCTGAATGAAAAGAGCAATACCAGAGGTGCAGAAGAGAAATATATAGAGTTAAAATGGTACACACTTGGTGATTAAGTGGATATGGGGAGAAGCTTGATGATTAGGTACATGTGGGTTCCAACAACAGAGATGGAAAATTTCATAGTCTGACTCCATTTTGGATGTTTGGCTGCTGACAGATTTCAAGTCTTACCACTTCTCTTTCCCTTCCAGGCTACGTCTGGGCAAGCTGATAAGAAAGTTTGAGTTTTCCCTCCTTTGGTATTGGTGAGAACTCTCATCTCAGTCTCACCTCCTAACCATAATACAATCCCAAATCTGGCTTCCTTTCTCTGCTTGCCCAAGGTTTTTTGGGACAAACTTGAAAAGCTGTTCTGCTCTTCCCCAGAAAGTCTCATTATATAAGGAACAAACATTTCACACCCTTTTGGTACATGTGTGGCATCATCAGTCTCAACATCCAAACCAAATTGTGGGGGTGTCCATTCTGCCTCTCCAGTATGATAGCAACATGAATAAATGTAAAAGAACATGTTATTTTGAGGGGGGATGTAGGGGACAGGAAAGTGGAGTTCAATTTAGGTCCACTGAGTTTGAGGTACCCAACAGGGTGCTTAACACAGCGAACACTCAAAAATGCTAGTTTCTTTTTCATGTAAGCCTCCATTACCTTCTTTTGAGTTAAAAATATATTTATCTGGCCATGGCTGGTGTGGTTAAGTGGACTGAGTGCCAGCCTATGATCCAAAAAGTCACTGGTTTGATTCCCAGTCAGGGCATATGCCTAGATTGTGGGCCAGGTCCCCGGTCGGGGAGCACGTGAGAGGCAACAATTCATTGATGTTTCTCTCCCTCTCTTTTTCCTTCCCTTCCCCTCTCTCTAAAAATAAATAAATAAAATCTTTATAAAAAAGAATATATTTATCTGTAGATTTTACCAAATAATAACGGCTTAAAATAACCATAATAATTATTATAATGGTTATGTTATTGGTCACTATGTATAAGACATTGTATTAGAGACTTTGCAGATACTACATCTTGTTTAATCTTTACAACAATTCTGGGAGGTAGATATAATCCCAATTTTATAAATGAAGACAATTAAGGCTTTGAAGTTACAAACTGGGTAGTCTGCAAAACCAGATCAGTGCGATTCTAAAGCTATGCTATAATTACTATACTATTCTTTCTCTGTATATGAACAGGAAAGTAGATTGATAACATCCATCACTTACTTCATAGTATACAGCATGTAGAGGATATCAGCTTGCTCCTGGAAGCTGGAGGTCTCCTTTAACTGTAAAACTAGTGCTTTGAAGTCTACCTCCCCAGACTGATCTCTAGGAAGATGTATTTCTACACGAACTGAGGGAACCTTTAGATTGAGGAAGGAAAAAAAAATTCACTCCACAAGTGTTCAACTTAAATAATGCTCTAAAGTATTGATCTTTTCATTTATAAACCTTTTCCATAAGAATTTCCTAAATTTTGATGAAAAGTAAACTAAAAGCAATGAAACCTTTAAGATGTATGATACTGCAATCTAGTTCTTGTAAAGACTGGCTAGAAAAACTAGCCCACTTGAAAAGTGAACTGAAAAGGTCATATATCTTCACTAGGGTAGCATTTTGCCTACCACCAGTCACTAGCAGAAACCACAATGGCTAATCCTTTTACTTTTCCATAAGGATGGCAGTTTTGCCACAAGCTGATAGAAATACCTCATGTGCAAGTTTACCTGGTCCTCTTGTGCAGAGTGAGGTAAGTCAAGAGAGTTGAATGAAGGCCGGGAAGGCTGAATTATCTTTGTAGGAAGATACATGTGAACATCTGCAAAAGGTTGACATTTATAATAAAGGTTAGATAAGGGACTGAAAACAATACATAGTTGATTTCAACAATGAAGTTACATATTGTTGGTTCTTTACAGAAGTTTATTCTTTCTGGGTAACATAAAAAAAAGAAATATAAATATCAGATAATTTAAAGAATGTTCAATCCATCAAAAAAAACATTTTTTAATAGAATGTCTAGAATTGTAGCATCAGCTGATATTAAAAGTCTAAACATGTGGTCAATACCACAATGGTACTGTCACCAGTGCTTTGACAGAATGCGATATATCACAGAAAGAACCCAGATATGTTTTATACTTTCTGGATTTTCTTAGGAGAATATCTGGTTGCCTGCAGTTGGACTTCCTTGAGAATAGATAAATGGATGATCCTAAATAGTGAATCAAAAACTGTAGTGGCTGACCAACTTTGAGATATTCCTAAGATTTTTACTTACAGTCCATTGTTGAAATACTTACCATAACCTCTAAGGAGAGACTCGCTCATCATTTTCACCATTTTACAGATACAGAAATAAAGATAAAGAGATCAACTAACTGTTCAAACAAGTAAGTAGCAGAGCAGGTAATTAAGCTCAAATGTCCTGATTCATAATCTAAAAAAGTGTAACTTAATAAAGTTTATTTTTTCACATAAGCCCTTTTGTCAAGGAAGCATACTTGAAGGGAATGCTAAGCTTTCCCCTATTCTAAATGTTAAGTGATTCTCCAATGTTTAATATCTTTCGTTAGTAACCATCAATAAAGTTTTAGACAGCAAGAACATGCATCTCAATTATTCTTATCATCTGTAAATGTTAACATTTAGGTCCTGTGGGTATAGCGAAGGATGCTTTCTGTCCCTTCACATGCAGCTACCACAGAAGCATTGAACACTCTTGGGGACCATGACTACTCCTGGCAATGTGACATTTTCCACTACAAATACTAGTAAAGGAGGGTAGTGGTCATGGAGAGGTGAATGGCAAACTTGCTGAAGAATAAGTACAGCAGTTGACAAACACAGCTCTATACTGCTGGAACAACTGACTATAAAAGTTATAGCTATCCTAAGGGAACCAGATGTATCTTAGTTAAAGAATATCTCTTTCTCCATTGCAAGGCCCTCTTTTAATAGTCTGCATCACTTCCTCTTTAAATAAAATTTATCTCAAAAGAAAAAAACAGTTTCCACTATTTTAACACTTTGATGTTAACATTGAATATGTTCCATGTCTCTTTTTTTGTCTCTTCTCGCTATGTAACTGGTTAAATTAGACTATAAAGCACTATCTACAGCAAAACTATACTCAATTCATTAATTTTGCAAGTATTCGAGTGTGTAATATGTTCTAAGTACTGTCCAAGGTGCTGGGGATAAAGCAGTGAACAAAACAAAGTTCCTGCTTACACTGTAATAAACATCTCCCCACCTCCATTTTGGGTTTCACGTCATCCTGTGCCTGACCCCAATGAGTCCTGGCATTACTCACTCTGTACATGCAGCTCCGTGGCCTTGTTCACCAAAGACATTAAATCACAGGTTGTTTGCACAGCAGTTCGGAACCGATCTAGCCCTCCCTTCTGGGATGTAGGGGCTGGTTTAGGATGGGGAGTAGTGTGTGCCAAAAGGTGATCTAAATAACGAGCAACTTCATCACCACAGTGAGCTGCAAGGTTAGTAAGGAGTGAAAAGGGAAAAAAAATGAACATTTTAGTACTTCACAATCTCACCCACCAACAGAATGACTGGATCCTGTGCCCACAACATAGCACCAGAAGTAGACTGTTTTAGCTCAAGTATGTGGTCATTATATAATCTCCTAGCTTTCCCATTTAAAAACTATGGCCATTTACCAGGACTCACTTATTCTTCAATTTTTCTGAGACAGTATGAGGGCCATTGGAAGCAGTATGAGGTTAATACAGGACAAATGGTGCAAGCATTTCATATGTAAGCACATGATGATAATGGTGGTGATGGTGATGGTGGAGGAGGAGCAGGAGGAGGTGGAGGAGGTTCTCATTGGTAGAATGAGACTTTTGTGGGGAAGGGCAAAAATCATCCACTAAACATTGAGCCTAGCTAAAAACAGATTCCACAAATGGCAAGCGGCAACTGCTAACAAAAAAAACCCAACAACTTCTCTGTGGCATTGGTGTTCAAAGGACTACTGGCCACACATTCATCTTTTTAGTTACCTAATTCATTTCTTCACCAAATATATTTATTGCCTGCTTTGTACCAGGTGGTGTACTAGGTGCTGAAGTTTCAGGGCTGAAGAAGACAGATATGGTCCCTATCCCCATCTTCTACATACCTTCTATAACATTATCTCTGGCTATGGATAATGGAAACAAACATACATGTACCCTGTGGGTGTATAACATTTCAGACTTCAAATAAACATTCACAGTATTTATAATTGGAAAGTAACAGTCTTTGGATCAATACTGAAGTCTACTAGGTCAGTCATGCATCATCTAGTTTTTGATCACCTTTGGTGATCTCTTAAGATGTCTTTCTGTGCTCTGATGTGACTAATGGGAACTGGAAAAACTATAAGAATGGAGCTCAAACTCAGCGATATCCTAATGACAAATATAACCTTGAATACAATCTGGATTATTAGATGAAGGATTATAAAGAATATGGACTTGAAACTAATATAACTAATATAATATAATATTGTATACCAACTATACTTTAAAAAATATGTAGAGAAGTGCTCTCCCCATGGAAGGCCTGGCAAACAATAGACACATCCATTGTAAACCCACTGATGAGTAAGTCCAGAGAGGAAAACCTGACTCAGAATGCATAGTGTCAAAATTCAGTAATACTGGGCTGGCCAAAAAGTCTGTTGAGTTTTTTTCTGTAAAATAAAAGGCACAGTTTTCATTTTCACCAATAACTTCATTGATTTCGGATATTTTGAGTATGTCGGCTATCTCTCAAATGGTAGAACATTGACTGTTCTCAACTACTGTCTCAATTTGATCACTATCAACTTCAACTGGTCTACCTGACTGTAGAGCATGGTCCAGCAAGAAACCTCCTGCACAAAATTTCGCTAACCACTTTTGACACATACTACCAGTTACAGCACCTTTTCCATGCACTGCACAAATCTTTTTTTGCATTTCAGTTGTGTTTTTACCTTTCTTGAGATAATAAAGCACAATATGCCAAAAGTTGGATATTTTCTTCTCTCTTTACTATTAAAATGGCTACACAAAAATTCACCAATTTTGATTAAGTTTTTTTTAAGTGCACACAGATATGACAACTGTCACAATACAATCTAACAAAATTATTTTGAATGAACTTAAAGACAACTGAGCACTATTAGAACCAACTTACGGAAAGAAAAAAACAAACTTTTTGGCCAACCCAATATATATCATTCAAAATATGTATTTTAGAAATTAATCTAACAGAAAGAGTGCTACAGATGGAAATTATAATTACCTATGGAATAGCAAACAACCTCAATAAATGATGATTCTTGTCTGGTTTTCAAAATAGTTCAGCTTATGCCACAGTAGATATCATGACTTTTGTTATTATTGAGAATAGGAAGTAATATTATATGTTAATGCACTTTTCCAGCAAAGAAATTCATACCATTTTAGATCTTACAAAAACAAATACAGAGTGAATTAAATGGTTCTTAGGTGAGTAAATGTTGAGCCCAAATAAGAAAATAGTCCTTCTGACTTCTAATATGTTGGTCTATTGTATATGAGGTTATGCTTGCTACCACATCAAGGAAAACTAATTTATTTTTTCTTTTCTTCAACAAACTGCTCTTAAGATAAAGAGATTGGCTGCCTTAATATATAAAGCAACAGTTAAATGCCCAGGAAATGAAAGCAGGCAAATCGTGTTTTAGATAGCTAGAAGAATAATTTGCTCCTATTGCCCTATTTTCTTTGGATCTCAAGCACTATAATTCTTTCCCTGACTAGGTCAATGTTTTAACACTTTAGGGTACTTCTCAGCCATTTTAAATATATGCCCCCATGATGTTTTCTCACTATGTCATCTTAGTATTCCTAATGGCCAAATAGACTTTGTTGTGTTTTATTTGTGTAGTTTGTAATATAAAAGCAATGCACATACCAAATAGGTTTTTTCCAAACTATGCAGTCCTCCCAGGAGATTCTGAAGTGACCATACAATATTATATATAAAAAGCACTATAAGTCCTGGTTGGTGTGGCTCAGTAGATTGAGTGCCGTCCTGCGAAGCAAAGGGTCACCAGTTCAATTCCCAGTCAGGGCACATGCCTGGGTTGCAGGCCAGGTCCCCAGTAGGGGGTGTGCAAGAGGCTACCGTACATTGATGTTTCTCTCCCTCTCTTTCTCTCTGTTTTCCCCTCTTTCTAAAAATAAATAAATAAAACATTTTTTAAAAAAGCACTCTAACTTAATTTCATATTTATGTTTTAATGTCATAAAACAGGAGTGTATGTGTATAATTTCTCCACTATATACTTCATTAAATCTCTCTCACTCTTCACTGCTTTCTGTCATTTTGAAATCACTAGCCATTTTATAGATCCAGCAGAGAACTCTCCTTAACCTTACTTAGTAAGGGATAGTCAACTTTATTTTCCACAATCACAGCAGGGATATTAGTCCAGATACCAAAGGTAACAGGTAAGTAGAAGGATGAAAAGTGAAGCCAAACAAAAGGTACGTCTATTAAATAGGAGTGAGACTGCTGGCAGTGAGAAATATTAAGGAGGACACTCAACAATGTTTTGTATTCTTGTCCAGCAAGGCCAGTGCCTTTATGAAGCCTCCTTACCATTACTGGTTGAATCATAGCCATTCATCCAGTCACGAGATTCTAGCTCACTATAGTTGTCATCATAATCTTCACTGTACAGCTTACTGTCAGGTCCAGGGTCCATGAAGCTCAACTGTGTGCAGCAAGATGTTGTCAAAAACTCTGACAGTTTACCTGTTTGAACCCTGACAGTGAGAGGGTAAATAGAAAACAGGAAATCAGAACAAATGCTTTTAAAACAACATAATTTAGTGAAAAATGATACCCAGAATGTTTTGTTTGGAGATTACTCATGTTCATACATTAGTATAAATTTTGTAAATGTAAAATTTTACTGTACTCCTAGGCATGATGTATTATAGGTTAGGGTACTGTGTTAATAAAAACTATAACTACGGCTTCACAATCCACCAGCAGATAAGTTTTGCTTTCTTTCACTGCTATGTTGCCATGTGGATAACTATGCCAAACATTGGCCACAATTTCCACAGGCTACCAGAGAAGCTAGAACAGAATGAATAAAAATCATCACAAATCCATCACATCATTTAAACAATACTCAAAAAGATCATTTTGAAAATAAAAGATGGTACTTGAAAATGTTATAAATTATAGTAGATTGTAAGCCATATCCTCCCCTACATATAAAGCCAATTGCAAAGCCCAAAGGGAAAGTCAATGGTACTGATTTTCTAAAGAAGCCAGCTTGAAGAGGCTTCCAATGGCCAGATCCTATATAATTTGAACATTGAAATAAATAATGGTAGGAATGGAGCATCACATAAAAAATAAAATTAAAATCTATGAATCTATGCTGACACTAAAACTACAAAATAAAAGGGGGGCATGGGAAAGCTGTATTTTAAACAGGTTCCAAATGTTAAATGTACACAGAATGATAGAAACACAGAATCATCATTTTATGACTCCACAAATAATAAATGATTCATCAGTGGAAGCTAACACTGTTTAGTGAAAAGACTGTTGGACAAAGGATATGGAAAAACCTGACAGCTGCCTCTTTAACAAAATTGAGAGATATTCTGCAAAATAACTGACCTTCCTTCTGTAAAACTGTAATAAAAACTGTCATGAAAGATTAACAAAAGACTGCAGAATTGTTATACATTAAAGGACATCAAGAAAATATAAAAACTAAATGCCAATAGTGATCTTTCACTCAGTGATCTTTCACTGAATCCTGGAGTGAGAAAAAAACCTATGGGAAACCATTATTGGGACAAATGAGTAATTTTGAATATGAGCTCTATATCAGACAATATCATATTGTATCAGTAATACATTTTCTGAGTATGATGATTATATTGCAGTTATATATGAGAATACTCTTGTTCTTAGAAGAAAGAAACTGAAGTATTTAGGGTAGAAGAGTGATGATGTTTCTGCTAACTCTCACATAGTTCAGCAAGAAAGATGTGTGTATATTTCTGCAGGTGTACATATGTGTGATAGAGAAAGCAAGGTAGGGAGGAGTAGAAGGAAGGAAAGGAAGAGAAAGATTTTTCAATACGATGTCTGTTAGCTTACAATTTTTCAAAATAAAAACTTAGGAAAATAGAAAAGAAAAGCAGCTAGAAATGAATAGCCCAGTAACCTTTTTTTTAAAGAATAAGTTTTCTTGTCTACTGAATTGTTAAGATTTAGGCAGAGATCAGGGTGAGGAAAAATTCTAATGCTTCTCTATAACATTAAATTCCTTCACTCAATCTATCAAACACGAGCTTCTCTGAATAGGATGAGATTGTCATTAAAGATACACAGAAAGAATATCATGCTTAGTGAAGTAAGTCAGACAGAAAAAGTTAAGAACCATATGATTTCACTCATATGTGAGACACGAAACTGAAATCAACACATGAACAAACAAGAAAAACAAACAAAACAAAAACTCATAGACATAGACAACAGTATGGTGTTTACCAAAGGGGAAGGCAGGGGGTAGTAAAGGATAAAGGGGACCAAAATATATGATGATGGAAGAAGATTTGACTTTGGGTGGTGTGCATATAAAGCAATAAATACACAGATCATGTATCATAGATATGTACATCTGAAACCTGTATGATCTTATTAACCAATGACATCCCAATAAATTTAATATAAAAAGATTCATCTATGGCCCTGGCTGGTGTGGCTCAGTGGATTGAGTGCCAGCCTGCAAACCAAAGGGTCGCCGGTTTAATTTCGAGTCAGGGCACATGCCTGGGTTGTAGGCTAGGTCCCCAGTAGGGGGAGTGTGAGAGGTAACTGATCAGTGTATCTCTCACACATCAGTGTTTCTCTCCCTCTCTTGCTTCCTCCCACCTCTCTAAAAATAAATAAAGTCTTTTTAAAACTATGCATCTGTGAAACAAAAAAAAATACACAGAAAGGCACAACAAGTCTACAATTACTATACCCAGCTTCCAACTTTGATTTCATTTCACTAAAGAGAATGTAGAGGTCACTTACCTTGCCCCACCAAAATAGCCATCCTGCATTTTTCGGAGTGCTGCCAGGATACTTGAATTCAGGCTGGTTCCATCTTCATCTTGAAGAGAATTTTAAACAATCTTTGTGATTTTAACTTTTAAATAAGGGAACTCTTTCACTTATTTCAAACCAACAGTCTGACAAGGAAGATACAAATGAGACACTCCTCATTGACAACCTTGTATTTCAACAGCTCATCTGAAAGCCAGTAATACTGCAGAATGGGCAAATGGTTAAAAGATGATGACCAACTGAGTTCCTCAAAGACAGTATCTCATTTATCATAAATACTTAGCACAGAGCCTAAGGGCAGAACACTTGATTACTGAACGCTGACAATAATAACAGCAACCATTTGTTGAATGTTACATGCCAAGCACCGTCTTAAATATTTCATATAATATTATGCCATCTAATGAGCCTTGGTTTATGTGTGTAGGTATAAAAATATTTAGAAAGCTAAAAATTATCTGACTTTATGTGAAGGAAATCATACTACACATATTCTTTTATGATCCACTTTTTCTAACTTATTTATCATTTGTAAAATCTAAAAATGATTCCATGGCAGACATTTAGACTGTTTTTGTATTACAAGCAACACAGTGATGAGGATCATTGTACCTACATCAATATGCACTTATTCTATTATCTCCTTAGAGAAAATTCTCACAAGTAGAACTGAACAGAACACTTACAGAAATTTCTATAGAGATTGCCAAATTGCCCACTTAAAAAGTTGGGTCAATTATATTTCCATCATCAGTAGAAAAAGTGACATTTTCCCCATACCATTAACAATATAGACATTAATAATCTTTTTAATCTTTGTTTATCTAATATGTTAAAAAGGCATCCTTTTAATTTTATTACTAGTAAGATTGAGCATGTTTTCATGTGCATACTGGCCATTTCTATTTATTTTATGAATTGCCTGTTTATGTCCTTTCCCCATGTTTCTATTAAGTAGTTCATCTTTTTTTAAAATCAACTTTGAAGAGCTCTATGCTTACATTTTCTGAATATTACCCTTCTTCCTATTATATGTATGGCAAATCCTTTACCCACTTTACTGTTTTTCAACCTCAACTACTGTTTATTTTTGTATAAAATATTCATTTAAATTTTCATGTTTTAAAATTTGTTAATTTTTCCTTCTTGTGTCTTACAAGGCACAGCTTCCTTAAATCCAAGATCACAAAAACATTTTTTCATGTTTTCTTCTAATACTTTCATAGGTTTCTTTGCTTAGTTTTTAAATATATCCAGAATTTAATTTTGCATAAAATGTAAAATAGCAGGCCTAAATAAATTATTTCCCAAATGCATTTATTTATATTCTTTTGCCTCCAAAGTAGTCCCCCGTTATCTGCAGGAAATGTTCCAAGACCCTAGTGGATGCCTATGTATACTATTAAACCCTGTATATACTATGTTTTTTCTATATATATGTGCATACATACATATGTGCATATGATAAAGTTTAATTTTAAAATTACACACAGTAAGAGATTAATAATAACTACTAATAAAATACAACAGTTATAATTATATGCTGTAATAAAAGTTATGTGAATGTAGTCTCTCTCAAAATATGATAATCATGATGGTTACTAAGTAACCAAGGAGTGGGTAGCATATACAGCATGGATACGCTGTAAAAGGAATGATTCATGTCCCAGTCAGGACCAAGGGAGATAGCTCCAGATTTCATCACACTACTCAGAATGGTGCACAATTTAAAACTTATAAATTGACTATTTCCAAAATTTTTAATATTTTTGGACCACGGTTGACTGCTGGTAACTGAAACCACTGAAAGCAAAACTGCAAATAAGGTAGGGACTACTGTATTTGAATTGCTATCATATTGATATTTTAATTATGCTGGGCCTATATTCTCTTATTGTTTTTAGTTTTTAAAAAGTCTGGGTATTTTTGCCCTGGCTGGTGTGGCTCAGTTGGTTAGAGCATTGTCCCATTAACCAAAAGGTCACAGATTTGATTCCTGGTCAGGGCACTTGCCTAGGTTGTGGGTTCAGTCCCTGGTCAGAGAGCGTAGGAGAGGCAGCTAATTGATGTTTTTGTCTCACATGGATGTTTCTCTCCCCTTCTCTCTCTCATTCCCCTCCCCTCTTTCTAAAATCAATAAGCATATCTTCAGATGAGGATAAAAAAAAAGTCTGGGTGTTCTTGTACATTTTCTCTTCCATTAAGAAATTTAGATTCGGATTGTTCATATAAATTTGTGTTTTTATTTTCACTTGAAACTGCACTGAATTGATAGATTAATTTAATGAGAATGGACATCTCAATATTAACTATTTCCACTTGGCAACATGGTAATTTTTCTGTCTTATAATTAGGATCTTTTATGCTCTTCATTAGTTTTATAATTTTTGTCATATAGTTTTATGCATGTTTCTTATTAAGCTTATTCTTATATTATTTACTTTTCTAGAAAATTTGTCAATTTTATCTAGATTTACAAATTGTAGTTGGTACTTTTTATAATTTTTATAGTCTATTCCATTTCTATTACTATATTCCCTTTTTCATTTCTTTTTAAAATATATTTTATTGATTATGCTATTACAGTTGTCCCATTTCCCCCCTTCACTCCCCTCCACCCTGTATACCCTCTCCCACCCACTTCCCCCCTTTAGTTCATGTCCATGTGTCATACTTATAAGTTCTTTAGCTTCTACATTTCTCATACTATTCTTACCCTCTCCCTGTCTATTTTCTACCTACCATCTATGCTACTTATTCTCTGTACCTTTTCCCCCCTCTCTCCTCCTCCCCCTACTCCCCTGTTGCTAACCCTCCATGTGATCTCCATTTCTGTGGTTCTGTTCCTGTTCTAGTTGTTTGCTTAGTTTCTTTTGGTTTTGCTTTAGGTGTGGTTGTTAATAATTTTGAGTTTGCTGTCCTTTTACTATACATGTTTTTTTAATCTTCTTTCCTTAGATAAGTCCCTTTAACATTTCATAAAATAAGGGCTGGGTGATGATGAACTCCTTTAACTTGACCTGATCTGAGAAGCACTTGATCTGCCCTTCCATTCTAAATGAAAGCTTTGCTGGATAGAGCAACCTTGGATGTAGGTCCTTGCCTTTCATGACTTGGAACAGTTCTTTCCAGCTTTCCGTGACTTGGAATAGTTCTTTCCAGCCCCTTCTTGCCTGCAAGGTCTCTTGAGAAATCAGCTGACAGTCTGATGGGAACTCCTTTGTAGGTACTGTCCCCTTATCTCTTGCTGCTTCTAGGATTCTCTCCATCATTTTTATCTTAGCTAATGTAATTATGATGTGCCTTGGTGTGTTTCTTCTTGGGTCCAACTTCTTTGGGACTCTCTGAGCTTCCTGGACTTCCTGGAAGTCTATTTCCTTTGCTAGAATGGGGAAGTTCTCCACTGTTATTTGTTCAAGTACATTTTCAATCTGTTGCTCTACCTCTTCCCCTTCTGGTACCCCTATAATTCGGATATTGGAATGTTTAAAGATGTCCTGAAGGTTCCTAAGCTTCTCCTCATTTTTTTGAATTCTTATTTCTCCATTCTTTCCTGTTTGGTTGTTTCTTTCTTCCTTCTGGTCCACTCTATTATTTTGAGTCCCAGTTTTCTTCTCATCACTATTGGTTCCCTATGCATTTTCCTTCATTTCTTTTATGGTAACCTGCATTTGTTCATCTAATTTGTGACCAAAATCAACCAATTCTGTGAGCTTCCTGATCACCAGTGTTTTGAACTGTGCATCTGATAGGTTAGCTATCTCTTGGTCGCTCAAAAGGATGAGTTCTGGGGCACTGATTTGTTCTTCTGTTTGAGCTATCTCTCTCTCTCTCTTTTTTTTTTTTTGGTCTGGTCACTCCTGTTATAGTGAGGGGCGGAGCCTTAGGTGTTCTCCAGGGCTGGGCACCCCAGTCCCTAGATTGTGACGTTGTATGTGAGGGCGGGGTCGAGAGGGAACAATGGTGGTAGCTCCATTCTCCGTGGGACCTCAGTCCCTTCCCTGGGATCCTGGGTTGGCACTCTGCCCTGCTCCACAATCGCTGCTTCACTGAGTCTGCCAGCTGCCACTTGCGTACTCAGGGTCCACCCGCTGCGATCTTGCATGCCCTAGATGCCTTATGTGCTCTCTGCTGCCTTATGCGCCCAACTCTCCCTGTTCTCTGCGCTGCGACCCACGCCCGGCTGCTCCTCTCCGCCCTTCCTACCGATCTGGATGAATGGGTCTATTTCAACTTCTTGGTTGTCTGACTTCTATTCAGATAAATTTTCTGTCAGTTCTGGGTGTTATTCTGCTTCTAAATTGTTGTTGTTCCTATCTTGGTTGTGTGTGGAGGTACGGTGCGTCCACCTATGCCTCCATCTTGGCCGGAAGTCCCCTTTTTCATTTCTAATGTTTACATTATCTCTGTTCCTCTTTACTCTGAAGTCTACCAGATATAGCCCCTTCTAATTTTTAAAAATTAATTTTATATGGTATATCTTTTCCCATTCTTTTCATTTCAGTTTACTTATATTGTCATATATGAAGTGAATTTTATGGAGACAGCATATATATGGGTCATTTTTAACCTACTCTACCCATCTCAGTCTTTTAATTGGTGTATTTAAATTTTCATTTACAGTTAATGTAGTTATTGATATGTTAAGGTTAAGTCTGACATATTGTTTTCTGTGTATTCCTTTGTTCTTCATATCTCTATTTTCTTCTTACCTTCTAAAATACATGCAAGAATTTCATTTTGATTTATCTATGTGTTTTTTATGACATATTTTTTTAGATTTTACTTATTTATTTTTAGAGAGACGGGAAGGGAGGGAGAAAGAGAGGGAGAGAAACATTGATCACTTGTCTTTTGCATGTGCCCCAACAGGGGGCCAGACCCACAACATAGACATGTGCCCACAACCCAGGCTTGTGCCCTGACCAGAAATCAAACCAGTGACCATTCGCTTCATGAGACAATATCCAACTAATTGAACCACACTGGTCAGAGCATTATGACATGTTTTTAAAATCACTGTGTAATAATCCATGGTATGGACTTGTCATAATTTTAAAAATATTGAAGTAAAGTTGGCACACAATATTGTATTAGTTTCAAGTGGGCAACATAGTGATTTGACACTTATATATCTTACAATGTCCTATTACTGTGCAGCTATTATGATGTTATTGGCTATATTCCCTGTTCTGTAAACTACATCCCTGTGGCTTATTTTATAACTGGAAGTTTGTACCTTTTATTCCCCTTTACCAGTCCTTCCACTCTCCTCCCCTCTGGAAATCATCAGTTTGTTCTCTGTGAGTATGTTTCTCTTTTATTTATAGTCTTTTTAACTCTATCTCCTTATCTAAATTTCTTAGTGGTCACTCTAGGTATTACATTATATATAAACATGTATTATACATACACCACTGTCTACTAGTATCAACATTTTACCAGTTAAAGTGATGTCTAGAAACCTTAACTCCCTTTCAGTCCTTTAACTTCATCAATTTATAACATAATTTCCTTAAAGACTTCCTCTAAATATTTTGAGAACCACACTGGACAGTGTCATAGTTTTTGCTACAAATGTCAAAACTGAAGTGGAGAATATCTACTGTATTTATCCATATTCTTACTCTTTCCACTATTTTTTTCTTTCTTGAGGCTTCAACATTCCATCTTCTATTATTTCCTTTCATTTCAAGAACTTCCTTTAAGCCATTCTTTTAGGAGAGTCATACTACTGACAAATTCATTGAATTTTCCTTCATCTGAGAATGTATTTTTCCCCTTTACTCTTAAAGTACAGTTTTTACTGGATAAAGAAAGAATTCTTAGTTTTTTGTGGGTTTTTAAAAAATATTTTATTTATTTATTTTTAGAGAGGGAAGGGGGAGAGAAAGAGAGAGAGAGAGAAACATCAATGTCCGGTTGCTGGGGGCTGTGGCCTGCAACCCAGGCATGTGCCCTGACTGGGAATTGAACCTGCAATGCTTTGGTTTGCAGCCCGCACTCAATCCACTGAGCTACGCCAGCCAGGGCAAGAATTCTTAGTTTTTAATTCTTTTCTTTCAGCACTTGAAAAATATTGTGCCACTTCCCCTGTTCTTCAGGGTTTTTAATGAGAAATCTGCTTTCATTCAAATCATTTTTCCCATATGGGCAAAGTATCACTTCTCTGTTATTGCTTTCAAGATTTATCCTTTTTTTAATTTTTAGAAGTTTCATCATCATGTGTTTTAGTATGAGTTTCTGTGGGTTTAACCAGTTAGGGGCTTTCACAGCTTTTTGAATCTCTAGCTTTATTACTTTTCCCTATTTTCTGGTGTTACTAGTTGGAATACTTTTTCAGCCCCATTTTCTTTTTCCTTTCCTTCTGGGACTCTTATAATGTGAGTGTTAGATCTTTTGTTACTAGTCCCACAGGTCCTCGAGGCTCTGTTCATATTTGTTCAGTCTATTTTTACTCTTACTCAGAATCAGTCATTTCTATCAGGTCTATCTTCAAATTCACTCTATCATCCTAATGCTGCTATTAAGCCTAGGCAGTGAATTTTTCATTTCAGTTATCATAGTTTTCAGTTCTAAAACTTTCATTTAGTTTGTTATAGCTTCAACTTTTTTGCTAAGTATTTCCAAATACTTTTTTGCTCAGCAATTTCTTTGCTGAGTTTTCATACTTTCAAGTTTCAAGTGTGATTGTAATTGCTTGTTAAGGCAATTAGTATTCCTTTGTGTAAACATACCACAGCTTTTATATTCACTCAGCTACTGATAGACATTTGGGCTGCTTCCATATCTTGCTGATTATAAATAACACTGCAATGAACATAGGTGTGCTTATGTTCTTTCAAATTAGTGTTTTGGGCTCCTTGGATATATTCCCAGAAGTGGGATCACTGGATCAAAAAGCAGATCCATTTTAAATTTTTGGAGGTATCTCCACACTGCTTTCCACAGTGGCAGCACCAGTCTGTATTCCCACCAACAGTGCACTAGGGTTCCCTTTTCTCCACATCCTCACCAGCAGTTATTGTTTGTTGATTTATTGATGATGGCCATTCTGACAGGTGTGAGGTGATATCTCATTGTAATCTCATGGGGCCACCACTGTATATGTGGTCTGTAATTACTGAAACATGGTTATGTGGCACATGACTGTATTAGGTATTTCTATTTTGGAATCTCTTTGTCACCATAAACTGAACATGTCCCTTTACAAGTGTCATCTTTCTATAGAAGTTCTCTGCTTCTATCAATGGAAGCATTGTTTACCCACTTTGTAAATCTTGCCATTATTTTGATTCACATCTCGTATCTATTAGTCAGCACCTGACCTTCAGGTGTTGCTTAAAATGACTCTTGTATCCTTCTTTCCTGATCTATTTTTACTACCCCCTATCCAGTGTATCTTCCTATCACTTCATACCTGGATTAGTTTCCTTGATATCAGATGGTCCTTACTAGAGTATATACTGTCACCAAATCAAAATCACTGTCATGCCTCAGCTTGTTCAAAAACTATATGCTCAGACTTCTGAGAAAATCTGTTTTAAATATCTGCTTATTTTCAAGGTTTTCATAATATGATCAACCTTACTTACCAATTTTCTTGATGATTATACTCTAACATGCAAAGCTCATTCTATTGAGTTTGGCCTCTTCACTGCCCACTCACAAGTCAAGCTCGTCCCTACCTCCAGGTCTCTCTCACGGCATTTTTTTTTTTTCATTTAAAATACCTTTCCAATTAGACTACACTTTCTGAAGACAATTCTGGGGACACAATAGTTATTAATTGGGCACTTGTTAATTGTCTTAAATAAAGATGAAAGACAAAAAGAAGGACTACCCTACTTCTTCAAATCCTGTGCTTCTGAAGCACTTTACGAGATGTGAACAAAATCCCGAACAGTTTGTTCAAACTTTGAATGATTTATGATAAAGGATTCTTCTCTAATGAAAAGGAATTTTATGTACTTTGGCAGTACAAACAGGCTTTTGGAAGCAACAACAGAGACACAGAAAGTTAGCAATGCTTCTGCATTGGCTGTAGTCCTCCAGGAACTGAGAATAATAAAGCCATTCATCCAGTTTCAAATAAGTAATGCCAGTAAGCCCAGACAATAAAGGAAAGATAAACTGAAAGCCTTTTCACTTTTCCCTGCTAGATTTTACTGCTTCAGTTAGACAAGCCTTGGAAGGAGAGACGTGTAGGAATTTATCTATGAAATCTTGATGCTGCACTGGAGTAGGACAGATGCAGAATATAGTTTTACTTTCTTTAAAATGAATTTCATTAATAAAGTTTCTGCAAATTGACCTAGAAACCAATTATCTGAAGTAGTCACCACCAAGTTATTCTACTACTTTTTAAAATTATACCCCTCAAATGACCTGAAATATTCTTGTGTATCAGTTTATTTGGTACGTATTTATTCTAAAACATGAGCCCCATGAGAGTAGAAACCTCATCTGCCTTATTTATTTCATGTATTCCCCAGTCCTTAGAAAAGTGCCTAGAACAAAGTAGAAGCTAATAAGTAATTGCTGAAAGAATAAATGATAAGAAATAGCTCTCCAGTGACTCTAAGATTTTAAAGGACTAACCACATGACGTATTCCAAATAAACATTCATTCCTTGTCTCATACAACCTTACCAAGCATGGTGTGTGAGACGGGGAAGGTGATGGTGGGATGGCCTGTCATCCTCCAGCGGCTACAGAGGTAGGAGAGGTCTGTTCTAAGCATTTCCACTATCATATTGTTGTCCAGAGCCAAGTAGAACTGTTGCTGGTCTATAAACTGAGAAAAATAAAAATAACAGCTCAGAATAATTTACTCTCACAACTATCAAATAATATTTTAAAGTAATCACATATTCACAGGGTATATAAGATGTCACAAAGGCAATAATGCTGCCCAATTTAATGCTTAATTCTTCCCAAAGCATCTGGTGGTCCATTGGTACATATAATTTTTGACATTTTTACACTGTGCTATAACTTTCAAAGTATTTTCAAGTACATAACTTTACTTAATTCTATAACTGTCCAGTAAGGCCTTTTCTTCTTTTAATAGATAAAAACAAGGCCAAGAAACATTAAGTAGATTAGCAAAGTCATATAGCTAGCAAATGGTAAGATCAGAAATAGAATCTATGGTCTAATATTTTTTTTGTCTGTACCTCAGCTGCACTATTTCAGAAGTAAGATGACAAATGGAGAGCTTTAGCTTTCTCTTCAGAAAATAATTTCTCCTCCCCATATATACATATAATCAGGCTTGCTATTATAATGTGACTAATAAACATCAGGCTAACAATGTAAATAATCATGGCTAAAACAGTACTAACATTTTTGTTTAGAGGAGGATATCAAAGATCTCTAGGCTTGTAAAAAGGGCCCGTCCCCCAAAGTGAACATATAATTTGCTAGCTGAAGAAAAAACACTACATTTTGTTTATAAAGGATAAATACAAGTAAAAATAAGAAGTTTTAGTCTTTTAAAAGTAAGGACAATTTTTATTTTTTAAAGATTTTATTTATTTTTAGAGAGAGGGGAAGGGAGGGAGAAATAGAGGGAGAGAAACATCAATGTTGGTTGCTTATCATGCGCCCCCTGCTGGAGACCTGGTCCACAACCCAGGCATGTGTCCTAGACTGGGAATCAAACTGGTGACCCTTTGGTTTGCAGGTCCGTGCTCAATCCACCCCTGAGCCACACCAGCCAGAGCTAAAAGTAAGGGCAATTTTAAAAGTACTCAAATATTTGTAAAATCTCTAGTCACTATTTCTGTAACACTCAGGACTAGTCTTGGTAGCCATCATCACTTGGCATAACTCTGTGCCAGAAATTCAACTCAGTCCAACTCTATAAGTATTTATTGAGCAACTTAATATGTGGAAGGTCCTATGGAACTCTGGCACTTGTACAAACTCCAGTAAATGCTTTATTTCTGTAATGTTTATCTTTTATTTCCATTCATCTCAATACATGTTAAAGCTATCCACTCACCTGTGGAGTGAAGGTAAAGATAGTTTTCCGAATGTCATAGAGTTTTGAAGTTCCAAGGACTCCCATGTGTCTGTAGGGTCGGCCACTGAGTTTCATTCTACTGTTGCATCCTGAGATAGAATTGAGAAATGGTCAAGATATTTTTAGTGCAGAAATCCAACAGCAAAGTGTTTTTTGTATTAGTTTAAACTTCCTTATTGAATGCACTAAGTTCTGAATCTCATAGTTCATGTCATGTACAGGACCATACAAAGTACTGTGAGCTTTTAAAGAACTTGATGGTCTTATAAAGAATCCACATCATCTACACATGGGAGACAAGAATGCACATAAAGTTAATAGTGTATAAATGACAGAACTCTATTACTAATATTCATACACTAAATTTCTTTAAAGTCCATAAAAAGTACAAAAGATATACTGGTTATCAAACTTTTCAGTATAAGCTATGCCTCAACAAAGCTGAACAAAAACCTCATCAGCTTAAGCATGGCATACTAAACTGAAATAAGAGTTTATCTTGATCTCCTTCAACAACACAGTACTGATACATTTTATTCAATGGGACAACATATTTTATCCAAATAAGTTAAAATATTTCAATATTCTTGTGTCTGACAGGAAATTTTGTGCAACCTTTACACAGTAAAATTCACTTGGCAAAGAAACATTTTAAAAAATACTGAATGCCAACTATAACTGAAAACTTAAAAGTGTTTGAATTTTAAAATGTTTTTTTAATTAAAAAGCAATTCTCTTATATAACCATAATGCAAATGTGTCAAAATCAGGAAAATAACATTGATAAAACCCACAGACATTATTCAGATTTCACCAATTATCCTACTTGTCCTCTGTAGTTAAGAATTTTTCAGGTTCAGGATCCAATCCAGCATCCTATTTACTAATTGGATGACCTTAGAAAGATTATTCAAATTACTTGAACCTTATTTTCCTCTAAATAGTACTAAACTCCTTGAGTTGTGGTAAGTTTTAAATGAGATATTATAAAGTACTTGGCACAGTACCTGAAGCATAGAAATAGTAAACTCTTAGTAACCAGGAGCTATTATTTTTGTAATTTAAGAAATTTTATTGTTCTGGGACAAATTTCAAGTTTGTTTTACTATCTTTTTATTATTATCAAGGAAGAACGCTATTTTAATTCTATTTTATATATTATGTGCTTTTGAATTTTAGCACAAAAATTCTAACATGGCTTTAAACAGACACATAATATTTATACATACCAGCACACACATGTATTCTACTGAATGTATGAATTTAAATTAAGTGTCAAATCAAAGGTACAGAGTCTGAATAGAGTATAACTATTTTATCTGCACTCACTAAATTTTGAAGTATGAACTTTACTGATCAACACGTTTTGTAGGTATTGCACATGTTTATTATGACTACCCTAAGTGCATTTAATTCTTATTTATGATTTATTCATATGTATGTTTATTTTTATTTTGAGGCAATATTCTTTTTAGCAAGGCACACAGTCCAAATGATTTAAATAAGAAATATAGGCAATATAGTGTTGATCTCTGTGCTTCAGAAATATAATTCAGTAAGAAGACATACAAGTGGCCAACAGATATATGAAAAGATGCTCAACCTCACCAGCTATTAGGGAAATGTAAATCAAAACTACCATGAGATACCACCTCACACCTATTAAAATGGCTATTATCAACAAGACAAGTAACAACAAGTGTTGGAGAGGTTGTGGAGAAAAGGGAATCCTCATTCACTGCTGCTGGGAATGTAGCCTGCTAAGCCACTATGGAAAACAGTCTGGAGGTTTCTCAAAAAATTAAGAATAGAGTTACCATTTGACCCAGCAATCCCTCTCCTGGGTATCTACTCAAAAAAACTTGAAACCATGTATTCACAAAGACATATGCACCTCTGTGTTCATTGCGGCATTATGCACAGTGGCCAGGACATGGAGACAACCAAAGTGTCCTGCGATAGAGGATTGGGTAAAGAAGATATGGTGCATATACACAATGGAGACTACTCAGCCATAAGAAAAGATGAAATATTGCCATTTGCGACAACAGAGATGGACCTTGAGAATATTATGCTAAGTCAAAGAAGTTAGTCAGAAAAAGGTAAAAACCTTATGATTTCACTCATATGTGGGATATAAAATTGAAACTCATGGACATACACAACAATGTGGTGGTTGACAAAAGGAAGGGGATGATGGGTGTCCTAATGTATGGTGATGGAAGACAGTTTGACTTTGGGTGGTGAGCACAGTGCAATATACAGATCATGATCATAGAAATGAACACTTCAAACCTCTATGATCCTAATACCCAATGTCACCCCAATCAATTTAATTTTTAAAATATCAGCTGTAAGTTTCATCATTGTTCCTTTGAAAGCACTCTATCTTTCCTCAACTCTGGCCATTTTAAAGATTTTCTCTTTCTTTGGGTTTCCAGAAGTTTGATCATTAAATGCTAAGGTTGGTTTTCTTTGTATTTATCTTGCTCACAGATTTTTAGCCTTTGTGTGACTTGGTATCTTTAGTCAGTTTAGAAAAAAATTTGGACATTATCTCTTCAAATACTTTCTGTTTCATCTTTTCCTCTTGTTCTTAGACCCTAGATCTTTTCATTATATCTATCTCTGAATGCTTTCAATTTTCTATCCTTTATTTTCTGTGTTTTAATCTGTTTATTTTCTGCTGACTAACTTTTCAGTTCATCAATCCTCTCTTCTGCTGTGTCTCATATGGTATTAATCCCATTCGTTACATTCCTAATTTTAGTTATTGTATTTTTTAGTTTTGGGATTTCATTTGACCCTTTTTTATACATTCCAGTTTTCCAGTGAAATTCATCTTCTAAATTTATTTTTTAATATATTAACATAATTTATAAAAGTCCTGATATCGCACCCTGGCTGGTGTAGCTCAGTGGATTGAGCGCGGGCTGGGAACCAAAGCATCGCAGGTTCGATTCCCAGCCAGGGTACATTCCTGGGTTGCAGGCCATAACCCCCAGCAACCGCACATTGATGTTTCTCTCTCTCTCTCTCTCTCTCTCTCTCTCTCTCTCTCTCTCTCTATCTATCTCTATCTCTCTCCCTTCCCTCTCTAAAAAATAAATAAATAAAATATTAAAAAAAGTCCTGATATCTCAACACATATTACCTGTATTTTTAATATATTTAAATTTTAATTAATTTTTATTATGCTAAATATATATAACATAAAATTTACTATTTTAAATACATAGTTCTGTAGCACTAAATACATTCACACTGTTCTGCAACCATAACCACCATCCATATCCAGAGTGTTTTCATCATCCCAAACAGAAATTTTGTATTTATTAAACAATAACTCCCTATTACTCTCTGGCAACAATGCTTTAATCCTTTAATGGCATTGAGATATAACTGACATTTAACACTGTGTATGTTTAAGGTGTAAAATGTGATGATTTGATACTTGTACATATATACTGTGAAATGTTTACCACAATATGGTTAGTTAACACATCCTTCACTTTGCATAACTGCCATTTTGTTGTTGTCATGGTGAGAACATTAAGTTCTACTCTCATAGCAACTTTCAAATACACAATATGATATTGTTAAGTATAGTCACAATGCTGTATCTTAGATCCTTGGAATTTATTCATCTTGCAAGTTAAAGTTAGTACCCTTTGACTGACATTTCCCTACTTCCTCAACCCCTGGTAACCACCATTCTACTTTGTCTGTGAGTTCAATGTTTTTAGATTCCACGTATAAGTGATATCATACAGTATTTGTCATTCTCTGTTTAACTTAAATGCTTCAATAAACATAAGCATGCAGGTATTTCTTTGAGATAGTGACTTTAATCTCCTTTGATATATTCCCAAATGTGGGAGCTGTTGGTTCTATTTTTAAGTTTTTGAGTAACCTCCATACTGTTTTCTGTAGTGGCTATACCAATTTACATTTCCACCAACAGTGAATGAGGGTCGCTCTTTCTCCACATCCTTGCCAGAATTTGTTATCTCTTGTTTTATTTATTTTTGATAATAGCTATTCCAACAGGTGTCAAGTGATTATCATATTGTGGTTTTGATTAGCATTTCCCTGATGATTAATAATGTTGAGAACCTTTTCATGTATTGGTTGGCCATCTGTATGTCTTCTTTGGAAAAATGTCTATTCAGGTCCTCTGTCCATTTTTAATCAAATTGTGTACATTTCTGTTATTAAGTTGCATGATCCTTATATATTTTGGATATTATTATTTATTTATTCAAAATATTTATTTATTTAATTGTTGTTTAAGTACAGTTGTCTCCATTTCCCCCCTCCATTCCCCCCAACCCTACCCATCCCCGCCTCCCACCTTCGATCCTACCTCCTTTGCCTTTGTCCATGTGTCCTTTATACATGTTTCTTGATGACCCTTCCCCTATTTTCCCTCCTCCCCTCCCCTCTGGTTACTGTCAGTTTGTTCTTTATTTCAATGTCTTTGGTTATATTTTGCTTGCTTGTTTATTTTGTTGATTAGGTTCCACTTATAGGTGAGATCATGTGGTATTTGTCTTTCACTAGTTATTAGATATATGGTTTAAAAATATTTTCTTCCATTCCATTACATAGGTTATATTTTTTGTTTTTGTTTTTTTGCTGTGCAGGAGCTTTTAAGTTTGATGTACAATAGTCCCAGTTGTTGATATTTCCTTTTGTTGCTTGTGCTATTGGTGTCACGAGCTGAAACTCAGTGTTAAGACTGATATCAAGAAGCTTTTTCCTTATGTTTTCTTCTAGGAGTTTTATGGTATCAGGCCTTACATTTAAATCCTTAATCCATTCTGAGGTTTTTTTGTGAATGGTGTAAGATAGCAGGTCCCATTTCATTCTTTTGCATGTGGCTATCCAGTTTACTAGCACCATTTGACAGAGATCATCTTTTCCCCATTGGGTAGTATTGGTTCCCTTGTCACATAAGTGACACTTAGTTGATCACATACATGTGGGCATATTTTTGGACTGTCAATTTTGTTCCATTTGTCTATGTGCCTATTTTTATGCCAGCATCATGTTGTTTTGATTACCATAGCTTTGTAATATAGTTTGAAGTTAGGAAGTGTGATGCCTCTAGCTTTGTTCTTCTTTCTCAGGATTTCTTTGTCTATTTGGGGTCTTGCATAGTTCTTTACAAATTTTAGGATTGTTTTTTCTATTTCTGTGAAAAATGCTATTGGGTTGATAGGGGTTGTACTAAACTTATAGATAGTTATAGGAATTTTTTTGTTGTTGAGTTGTGAGAGTTCTCTATATATTCCAGATATTAACCTTTCATCAGATATATGATTTGCAAATATTTTCTCTTATTCTGTGGTTTGCCTTTTCATTCTTTTGATGGTGTCCATTATATAACTTTTTAATTTTCATGAAATCCAAATTACTTACATTTTGGGATCTATCTCTCTTAGCATAATAGGAAACAAACCAAAAATGAGAGAAGTTTACTACATAAAAATGAAAAATTCTATATATAAATATTAAGTACAGAATTAAAGGGAAATAATAAAATAGCAAAATATTGCAATAATACGTGGAAGACAGTATTAGCATCTCCTGTACATAAAAAACCCTGTATAAACCAGTAAGAAACTGAAAATTTTCCAGTAGAAAAATGGTAAAAGAATATAAGTAGATAATTTGCAAAATATATAGGAAAACGGCTATTTAATTAATGAAAACAAGTTTATCATTCATATGTCAAAAATTGAGGACATTATGTTAACACGGATATTAAAATAGCATTTGAGGGGGCTAAATATGGAAAAGAAATAAGGTTTACCATATATTATTATCTTGCATAAAAACAGGTTACAAAGTCTATTATTTTTATACCACTTTTCTAAAAACAAATGTGTATTTATTTTATAAGATTCATTGGAAGCAAATGCTCCAAAGCAAAAGCAGTGGCTTCCTGTGTGTGGTAGAATTACAAGTGATTTTTATCATTTCCCTTTGTGTTTTTCTCTATTTTCCAGTTCCCTGAAGTCAACATGTACATTTCATTTTGTGATCAAATAAATTACTATCTATGAAAATTGGAAGCACTGACTGGGTAGCTCATTTGGTTAGAACATTGTCCCCATAAGCCAAGGCTGTTGTGTCCATCTCATCAGGGCACATATAAGAATTAACCAATGAATGCACAAATAAGTGGAAAAACAAATTGATGTTTCTCTTTCCCCCTCCTTCTCTCTCTCTTTCTAAAAAATTGATTAAAAAAAGAAAATTGGAGAGAACAAGAATAGCATATCTATTCAAATAAAACTAGGAGATAAATTCAACAATTCCTAAAGAAAGCTATATCTGATAAAATGGTTCTACTTAAGGCTTAAAAATTTGTACAAAGGAAAGAAAATAAATATCTAAAAGAAACTATGAGAATAGGGCATGTATACATAATAAATCTCATTGTTAAAATACTTATCATAAAATATACTTAAAAATTGGTAAATACACATGAAAATATACAGATCCTTCTAGCTTTGCAAGCAATAGGAGATAATTTCAAAAAAAGAGTAAAGCAAAAATGAAAAAATACATGCTCTCACTAGGTATTAAAGAAAGGAAATTAAAATAACTTAGGTATATTAAAGTGATTAATCTAACAAAAATGGTAAAAAACTAATGTTGCATGGGTAGTAAAAATAAAAAGGTACATTTTATATTTATTAATGTCACTAAAAATTGATTGGTCTTTCTAAAGTTTAATCTGGCAACAGGTAAGAAGAACTGCAGTTGTTTATACTCTTACCCAGAATTTTTTTTCTGAGAATATTCTCCGAGGAAACAGGAGTATATGTATGAATGTCTGTATGAAGGCATTCATAGAAGGGTAAAATTTATGGAAATAATTCAAGAACTCAATACTAAGGGAACAATTACCTTAATTTTTATCAAATAATACACATCTCTTTAAATATATAAAAATACTTACATGAAAAATAAATGAAAAGAAAAAGAAGATAAGTTAATATGTACACACTAAATATAACCATGAAAATGTACCTATGTGCACTAACATTAGAAAAGAATTAGCACTATATAAAGATCTGAGTTACATATTTACAAATTTCTTATGTTCTCAAAGTTGATTAACTTTATAACTTGAAAAAATAAGAGAGATATTATGGAACTGAAATATATTAAATAATAAGTGTTTGAAGTGTAACAGACAATCTAATTTAGATAACACATGTAAATGAACATATCTGATGAAAAATATCATCAGATATTTTTTCCTTGGTGGCATTTGAGCTATCATTTGCTATATGCTTAAAGCAATTCTGTTATAGTGAAATTGCTGCAATAATAGAATTGTTAGGAGTCACTCATTTGATAATTCATCAAATCACACCTTTCTTGACTTTCCCAGGGAACCTATCCTGTTTCTCCTATACTTGGTACAAAATACCATTGTTACAGCATTTATAAGATTGTACTATAATTATTTGGTTATATGTCTGTGCCTCTTATAGCATCTAACCTAGTGCTTCATACATAAGTGAGCAATAGAGCCTTATGAAAGAATGATGACTGAAGTGAAGTATATTTGAAAAATAAATGTAGTTTATCATTTATTAAGTCCTGCATTGCTTTGTTTTGTTTTGTTTTGCTTTGCTTAAGTGTTTTTCCCTCAATTTATTTCTTTCCTCTTGCATTTTACTATAAGCAGCAAGTATAAACCAGGCCATGATTTCAACATTTTGCTTGAAAATCAGCTCAGCTAAATATCCAAGTTCAGCATTTATAGTTCAGTTTTCCTCATAACTGTAGGACATAATTCAGCTAAGTTTTCTGTCACTATACAACAAGGATCCTTTTCTTCAAGTTTCCAATAACATGTTCCCCTTTTCCTTCTGAGCCCTTTCTATCAATGCCTCTATAACAGTTTGTTTAAGGCAGTCTGGACTTTTTCTATCCAATGACCCAAAATTCTTCCAGGATCTATCCATTACCCAATTCCAAAGCCACTTCCACACTTTCAGGTATTGGTTATAACAAAATCCCACTTCCCAAGTACCAAAATGTGTATCACTTTCCTATTTCTGCTATAACAAGTTACCACAAACTTAGTAGGTTAAAACTATACATATTTATTCTCTTGCAGTTCTGGAGGTCTGAAGTTCAAAATCAGTTTACAAGTGTAAAATAAAATCAATATGATGGCAGGGTTGGTTTCTTCTGGAAGCTCTAGGGGAGAATCTGTTCCATGCCAATTCCAACCTGGAGAGGCTGTAGGCATTCCTTGGAAATCTTTTGCTCACAGCTACGTCATTCTGATCTCGTTTCTGTTGTCACATCTACTTCTATAGTCTCATTTCCCTGTGTCTTCCCTTTATAAGGACACTTGTGATTACATTTAAGGTTTACCTGGATAATATAGGATAATCCTCCTCTCAAGCCCCTTAATTTAATCATACTGGGAAGTTTGTTTACCATATAAGGCAATCTTCACAGGTTCCAGGAATTATAACCTGGGTATCTTTGGGAGCCATTATTCAGCCTTCCACAATGGTAGTTTTGAAATTCTGTGTATCTTTTTTCAGTTAATAATGTAGTCATTTGTTTAATGTGAAATTTGTAGTAAGTTGTATAAACTTGTAATTTGTAGTAATTTGTTCAATGTATCCATCACTAACTTTAATATATAAATTGAATAAAAATAAATACTAATTAAAATATTATATTAAGAAGTAGAATTTCTTTTTTTTACACCAAAAATGTACCAATTTTTATTATAAAACTTACCCACAAATCACATACTATATAGTTTTCATGTTAAGCGGGTAAAGTATTAAATGAGAGAATGTGATTTCTTTTTTTTTTTTTTTGATAGGTCTTTTTTTTTAAGAGAAGTAGAATTTCTTTATGTTGTCAACCAGTTCATTACATGACCAACTATAAAAGACCTAAGAACAAATTCTTTGGCTATTACTTTGTATAAAATTAGCATGTATTCAAAATGAAAATGTAAGTCCCTAGAAAGGGGAGAACATGTTAGTTAAGCACATACTTGGAATGGAGGTACAATATTGCCTGGTGACAGTCATGCCCTATGTGCCAAAGAGTTCATAAAACACACATAAAATTATCAAGCCTGCTCAGGATATATAGTGTTAGAAACTTAGATTCCAAAGAGTCTAAATTCTTTCTAAGATCCAGTTTAATAAGATAATACAAGATCAAGATAAAATGAAAAGGAAATAACCCAGCTTGTATCAAATAATGTTTTGATTCTAGCAGGCTGGCCAATCTTCTTACCTAGGCTGGAATAAATGTGGCTTAGAATACGAGCCGGTTGTACTCTGATGGGGTACACCTCAGCAATAGTCTCTACAGTGATTCCTTTTTCCTTTAAAATGGCCTTAATTTCTTCTGTCTCAGCTAGAATGGAAACTGTAAGAAAGAAAGAAGATGAGGTCAACAGAAAAATGTTATTTCAGTAAGAACCTAAAATATCTCAGCCACATTATTTTTTGAAGGGAAGAAAAAGAAAAGTGGAGAAAATTAATGATTATTGGAGAAATTTGATGAAACACTCATCATGATACGTACATGATGATATTATGTAAATGAAAAAGGAAAGATCTCATGACCAGAGTATCACATTCTGGTTTTTGGCCAAGTATCTCTGTGTTCCTAGAGAATGCCACATTACCTTTATAGCTGGGGTTCCATGTTTAAATAAGAAAAATCCAACATGAGCTGTGTTATAGCTTTGTCAAAAGTTGATTCCCCAAGGCTCTTTCATATCCATACCCTTAACACCAGGGCTAAGACTATAAGGGTAATAAAGAACACACTAATGATAAGAATTGTTCTATACCTAGAGAATGGTAGAAGGCAAGTTAAACTGGGGATAAAGAATAAGACACCACAGTTGAAATTGTGTGTAGTTGTTTTGGGGAGAGGTGTGGGGGTGGGTAATATTTCTCTAGATTCAGAGCCTGCCAAGCCTGGACAGCTCCATTTTGTTCCTCTTATATTCATGTCTCTGAAGTAATAATTATACTTAGAAGGGGGGTGACCAGGCAAGCTCCCTGACTCTTGTTTTCTCTCCCTCTGTGAGACAGATAACTGACTGGGGAGCCAATAATCTGAGTGGGGCCTCAGAAGGCTTGACACTAAATAACAAGGACAAACACGCACCCTATTCCTACTCCTCTAGTGCTGGTATATGTGTTGGATTGGGTTAATGGGGAAATGATGGTACCATTTTGTTCACTGAAGTTTACCAGTATTCTTTTTGTTGAGTGTTTTAGGCAAAACACTAATTAACAAATTGATACTTTGCTGTCCCTTGCCATTATGTTTTGTATATTTTTCTAGCTTGGGAACATCATGGTGTTGCATTGCTGTGGTCTGGGACAGCATATGCAGGATATGGTGATTACAGAGGCCTCTGGATAGAACACCATCTCAATTACTTCTTTAAAAAAATTATTTTTATTGGAAACATAAAAAGGAAAAAGATTCTACAGGAAAAATGCACAGAGGAAGAATGATAATGGGCTGAGAAAAGTACAAGGAAATACATGTGGTCATCCATTCATTCATTAAGAAACATTTACTAAGCATTTAAATGTATGAGGTACTATGCTAGGCACTAGGGATATAGAGATGAATAAATTGTTCTCTCCCGTAGGAGCTCATAGTGTAATGAAAATGACATACACATAAACTGATTCTAAAATAACCTGCTAGATAAATACAGATATGATCAAAACATTACGAGACCACCCAAGAGTGATACCTATCTAGTCTGAGGGTGGTAGGGAATGGTTTCAGAAAGGGCTTCCCAAAAGGGTTGATATTCAAACTGAGTTTTGAGTAGTGAATAAATTAGCCAGGAGAAAGGAGGGACTAGGGATGAGGGGGTCATTTTAGGCAGAAGGTCCAGAATGATCATAAAGCACAGAAATGAAAAAGAATGTGGGTGTGTTGTGAGGAGGGGCACAGGGGAACTACATACACCTCAATATTGCCATAGCATGAAGCACCCTGCAGTGGCAAAAGAAATCTAAAAAGGCAGATATCATGGAGGGTGTATGTGTCACCTTAAGGATTATTTTTATTTTAATTTTCGGTAATGATTTCCAAACTGAATTTTAATTAGCTTCTGGGGTCTCCAGAGGGCAATGCAGTTGGTAGCAGAACTAGAGGGGACTGAAGAAGAGGCAACTGAATAATATTCAGGGACCCTAGGAATAATTTTAACCCAAGTAACTCAGCTTTTCATTTATTTTATGTTTTATGAAATATTTAGAAACTGTTTCTTTCGTACAACTTGCTAGGCATTGATAAATGCTAGGGATACAAAGATAGATGTAATCTGTAGGGAAAATGACACTGACACTGTGTCCTGCTATAGGGCTGAATAGGAGTTAATCTGTTAAAGGTGAGGCTAAAAGTAAGGAAGAAATTGTTCCACACAGAAGAAACAGCATAGACAACGGTTCAAGGGCAACAGAGAAAAAGACAGATCTAGGAACTATAAAGAGTTCTTACAGCAGGGGCATAGGGTATAAAAGGGCAGTGGTACAAAAGGATACTGGAGACAGGGTCAAGGACTAATCATAAAAGACCCTGGTAAACCACATTAAGGAGGTTGGCAATAGGAAGCCCCTGCAGAGTTGTAATCACTATAGTAACATATACATATCTGCATCTTAAAAGGAACAAGTTAATGTTGATGATTACAGAATAAACTGATAGACTGTAGTAGGCCTAGACTGAAGACAGTAAGACCACTTAAAAAGTTATTGCACTAATGTAAGGGAGAGATGCTGATTACCTCAATTAGAATCATGCCATTGGTACTGGAGAGAACTACATGGATTTCACAGTTATTTAGGAGGTAAAAGAAACCAGGACTTGTAAAGTAATTGAAAATAGAGGATGAAAGAGGGAGAGATACTGAAAATGACTCCCCAGGCATTTATATTTGTAACTGGGAGAATGTTGTGCCATCTAATGACATAGGCACATAGAAAAGCAGGTATGAGTGACGTAGTCAGAGGAGGGTGTAGCTGATTAATTTCAGATATGAAGGAAGACCCCCAAAAATCTGGAATTTATTTATAAAAATTGCGTATTTATGCTTACATGTTTAAAGTTCAGTCAGCTTCAAAGTACTCTCCATTTGATGAGATACACCCATCAAGATGTTTTTTCCACTGTTCAAGATAGTTTTCGAACTCATTGATTTTGATGCCTTTTAGTGCTTCTGCTGTTTTTTTGTTTCACCCCTTCCACACTGGCAAAATGTTTCCCTCTGAAGACTTTTTCATCCAGAGAAACAGAAACAAGTCACTAAGGACAAGTTCGGGTGACTAGGGAGGGTGAGGAACAGGGGTCATGCCTTTTTGGTCAGACAATGCTGAATACTTAGCATGGTGTGGGCAGTGCACTCGTAAATCACCCATCATGAAGTGGGCAAATGTATTGAAAGTCTTTAAAAAAAAAATCACTGAAGCCAAACATAAACTCTTACAACAATGCCTGCGAGTACACTGATAGAGATGGGTTCCTAGAACATTCACCTAGCAGGTGAAGCCTGTTCTACCAGGGACCTGCCCCCTAGAAGATAATTCTGGGTTTTTGGGGTCCTCCCTTATATGTTGAGTTTAAAGTACATGTGAGACAACCAAGTGGAGCTGTCTTAAAGGACACTGATCTAGATTACAGAGCATTAGCATAGAAAGAGGTGACATGGGTCAAGAATATATAGAGAAGAAGAGGACCTGGAATACAACCACAAGAAATTTCAACATATAAGAAATGAGCAAATAAAGAAAAGTCTGGGTGCAAGAGTGAGGGGGTTTTATCCAATGGCTTATATTTTCTGTTACAGGAGATAAGGTCATCTCCTGAGAGGAAAGAAGCAAGGATGTAGAAAAAGGAAAAAAGTTTGAAATAGGAGGAGCCTGAGAGACAAGAACAAATATTCTAAATAAGAACAGTGTGATACAGACAGAGCTCCTAGGGAGACCAATAGTTAGGGGGCAAAGAGAAGAAGGAAGCTCAGAATGAGACAAAAAAAATGCAAAATTTAGGTCGAAGGAGGTCTAAGAAAGTATGGTTACCACAGAACAGTTAAGAGTTTCCAGGAAGATAAATGATAAATGAAACAGAGAGATCAACTATTATAACATGGATAGAAAACTACCTATTGAGTTTGGTAATAACTTAAGCAAAAGAATTTTCCAAGGAACAATGAGTTAGACTATAAAGGACTCCAGAATGAATGAAATATAAAGAAAGGGAAGTTTGGATGAAAAAGGAAGGATAGGATAACTAGAGGGAGATGAACATGTCAATGGACTAAAAAACAGAACCAACACAGAAAAAGAGTTTGAAGATTAAAGGAAAGAGTAGGATTCTAGGAAGGCTAAGAAAGAGAATAGAATCAAGCACCAAAAGGAAAATTTGGCCTAGAAGAGAAGAAACATCTTTTCTGAGACTGGAGAAAAGGTGGCAAAGAGGGTGAACATATAAGATTGTGATGGGGCATTGGGAAACTGACAAAGATCAGAATATTAAGATTATCCAGTATGAAGTAACGGGCCAAAAATCAGGGGATGGTGTTTAAAGCAAAGAAGGTTTTGCAATACTTGTTGAGTGAAATGAAAATGCTGGCTAATGATAAGAACAAGGACTAACAGGAAGTATTGTGGATTTAGCTAAGCTGGAGACCATGAATTTACAGTGCTACCACTCTGCTCATTTGTGTGATTTTTTTTTCCAGTAGATTTCAGCAGGCCAGATATAGGATCAGAAAATGCAGACGGTCAGATTCATCTGGAGCTATGATTTTTCTGGTGGGTGTAGTAGAAGTATGGTACACTGGTGATTAAGATATTTTTATATGGTCAACCAAGAAGTAGGGAAGAGCAGACTACGAGAAAATAGACACAAGTTTAATGGGGAAAAAAGCAAAACAGTATGCAGCTATGACCAGAGACTGGGATTTTTTGAAATGGAAGATATCTGAGGTGGTGCTAAAGTTTGGTCCTTGCTCTTCAAAGTGAGTGGCTAAAGTAGAGGTAGAAGGAAAGACTACTAGGGTTATGTATATTAAAGAAATTTGAAGCTAAAATATTTGAGGGCACTTACTTCAATGCTGAAATCTAGCACTATAGCAGGAGCTAGGGAAGAAGAAGGCTGTGAGCCAAGCATCAAACTCTTCAGTGAACGAATTAAAGAAACCGGGAGATCAATATAGCCAGGTGTCATAAGCCTCAAAGGAGAATAAGCTTTCTCATGGGAGGGGAAGAGGAATGGTCTTTTGTATTATGTTTGCTATATACATTGATAAGCAAAAGCTACCCAAATGACCACATAGCATGTCAAGTATAAGAAGGTTTAGAAAGTACATAGGATTATTTTCTATATGTGACCAACCACAAAGTCAAGTAACTGGAGACCTTTCAGAGGAGCGTCACAACAGGATTTAGTACCATGTTGGATTGTGTTATTGGAGAGTCAAAAATCACCTCGAGCTTTCTACCCTAGGAGACTAGGATAATAGCGAAGTCATTGACACAGATAAGGAAGGTGGAAATGTATGCTTTTCTTGGGAGAGGTAAAATGATGGAATGGAGACAGAAAGAGATCAGGCTTGCATTTGAAGTGACAGTGGTAAAGATATTTTATAGGTATTGGGACTAGTATTCTTAATACCTTTATAGAACTTAGCCCAGTATTTTGTACAGAGTAGATAACTCCAAATTTGTTATGACTGTTAGAAACAAAACGTAAAGGTTTGGAGTACTCTCCAAAGAGGCAATAGTTGGAGCCATATAAGCAACTTTATTATGAAGGAGGCAGTCCTAGAAAACTAACAAAGGGTGTAAACACAGAAAAACAGAATATACAACTGAATGTTCAGGAAGAAAGCAGAGATAATCAGGAGACTATAATATGATGATGATGGTGGAGGAGTGTTTCCAGAAGTAGGGAGTGCTTAAAAGTCAACTCTTATCTTTTGTAACAGCATGGATAGACCAGGAGATTATTATGCTAAGTTAAATAAGCTACTCAGAGAAAGACAAATACCACATAGTCTCACTCATATGTAGAATCTATTGAACAAAATAGACTGACAAAACAGAAACAGAGACATGGACACATGGAACAGACTGACAGCTGTCAGAGGGGAGGGGCACTGGATGAAACAAGGGGAAGGGATTAGCCAAAGAACATACATGCATGACCCACAGACAACAGTGTGGTGATGGCCAGAGGGAAGGGGGCTGGGGGCTGGGTGGATATGGATGGGCAAAGATGGGTGAGTAATGGGGATATTTGTAAAAGTGTCAACAATAAAAATGAAATTAAAAAATATTATCTTAGTAATAAAGAATCAAAGTATTCAGCCTTAAAGGAAGTACAAATGACAACTCATTAAAAGTGGAAGTAAGGAGAAAAATGACTCTGTTTTCTTCTCTTTAATTCTTAATATTGTAACATTTTCTTCCTTGGCTTTGGGATTGCAGTTTTTTGATAGAAAACAATACAGCTTATGTTGGACATTTAGGTGGTTTTCAATTTTATCAGTTTAAAAATAAGCTAAAATAAATATTTTCATGAACATATGACTTTTCCCACATTTTGGATTATTTCTTTAGGATAGAAATACAGTAAGTAGAATTACTATGCCCAAAGATATAAAAAAAATTTGGCTTTTTATAATAAATATGGCCAAAATACTTTTTTGAAAGACTGCGTGAAATTATAATGCAAAGGATTACTAATTTCCCTACACTGTTACTTAATTGGATGCTATATTTTTTTAAGATTTTATTTATGTATTTTTAGAGAGGGAAGGGAGGGAGAAACAAGGAGAGAGAGAAACATCAATGTGCAGTTGCTGGGGGCTGTGGCCTGCAACCCAGGTATGTGCCCTGACTGGGAATCGAACCTGCGATGCTTTGGTTCACAGCCCGCGCTCAGTCCACTGAGCTATGCCAGCCAGGGCTGGATGCTATATTTTTTTAATAGATGAAAATTGGTACTTTCAATTATTTTAATTTTTCAATTACTAACATAGTATTTCTTTATCCTTAACTGAGGACATATTTATTGACTTTAGAGAAAGGGGAAGGGAGGAAGAGAGAGAGGGAGAGACAGAGAAACATTTATGTGAAAAACATCAATCGGTTGCCTCTCATACATGCCCTGACCTGGTCAGGGTCTGAGCACATAACGCATGCATGTGTCCTGACTGGGAATCAAACCTGCGACCTTTCAGTTTATGGGATAACACTCTAACTAACTGAGCCACACTGACCAGGACAGTAGTAAAGTATTTTTAAATAAATGTATTTACAAATTGTATTTGGAACAATCTTTTTCTAGAAAACTAAAATCATTAGTGATATATAATGAATAAAAGAAGACCAATAATAGAATATTACCACATACTAGGCAAGAGTGAAGAGAGTCTCCTTATAGATTAACTTTGCTGTTGGCTTACTCAGTTAATTAGGTTAATAAATACATGTTGATTTTTTTAAAGTGTGTCAAATAACAAAATAATAAGAGTGTCATTTATTAAACAATTGTTCATAATTAAGATAACAATTTTGAAACCAAACAGAACCAAGTTCATTCTATACTTTTTGAAGTCTAGCAAAATACATGATGAAGAATGAAGTCATCATTTATTGGCTAAATCGATCTTTAACATACAGTTTCTGTTGCTGGGGATAAGAATACATACCTTGAACCACGACATCTGGCTTTGGTACAGTTGAAAACCTACGATTCAGGGGGTCAATTTCTCCAGGGGCTAAAAATCCCTAAAGAAAAAAACATAAAAAGACAAATTATTATACCTCAAAAAGCTAATTTTTGAGGAGAAACAATATACCAGTACTATATCCTGTACCATAACATATAAAAGGCAGGTATGAAAAGGAAACAAATACCTTCATACCTTCACTGTATGAAAATGTTTGTGAACTCCTGAATTCATGTCCACATGAATTTTATGTGGAGTTAATTTCTAGTGGCTGCCACAAATCCTTTTTTTTAATAGATAGGGTATAAATGTAAACAGAAAGCTTTCTAGGTCTACCTCTACCTTCTCTGGATGTACATGACCAGACAATCAGACCACAAAGCTTCTTATCAATATTGTAACGCATTAGTCCTGTTAATTTCTCATTTATTCATGTATTTGCTATAATTTCTGCTCTGTAGATATTTTTTGACTTGATTTGAGTTTCTGTCCTTGAGGAAATGGGATGAACTCACTCATTCTGCCTTTAAGAAAACTATTCATCTCCTTTTTTCATTCCATTGAATTTATTCTGATTGAATGAGAAAGTCACCAGGGAAGTATTCCTTTATTTTTTTAATTGCCTTTTTTATCCTCACCTGAGGATATGCTTATTCATTTTAGGGAGAGGGAAAGGGAGGAAAAGTGAGCGAGAGAAACATCAATGCTCAAGAGAAACCCATCAGTTACCTCTCATACATGCCCAAACCAGGGCCCAAACTCACAATCTAGGCATGTACCCTGACCAGGAATTGAACCTGTGATCTTTCAGTTTATGGGAGGATGCTCCAACCAACTGAGCCACACTGCCTAGGGCAGGGAAGTATTACTTTAAACAAATCATTCTGCCCTTATCACTACATCCATATTAATGTCAACTACAGATAATCAAACTTTTATGCTTATGGACCCAGAGAAAAAAGATACCTACCAAAAATGGCTCCTGGTGGCTAACTGGGGTCAAATTTAAAAGCAGAGTCTAGCAGCTGTTTCTAAACAGGACCTCTCACACTTCAAAGAGAATCCTGCACTGAACTGCCTGCTTGCATTGTGTTTCTGCCATCTGAGCCAGCCCTTATACAGGAGCTCCTGGAATCCTATTTCAACCAATAGGACTAAGGTTTTCCCCATCCAATCAGAGTTGTGCAGCTATATCTCCATCAGCATCTTCACTGACCAATTAGAGTGGCTCCATTCTGACCAATTGGGACAGTGCCTTTTGGACCAATCAAACTGAGGATTTGCATGAGGACAGACCAATCAGGGACCAGGGATGTGGAGTTCTCTCTATGTAAGTCACTCCCCTCTGGTTCATACAGTGCATTTTCCCTTTCCACAGAAGACTGAAGACTGTGTTTCCCTGGCTGAGCTGAAACAGTACAGATGAAACACAGAAAAGCATAGAAGACTGGACCAGAGCACAGACGAGCATAGAGAGCAGGGTAGGGCAAAGCAGACTGGTGTGGAGAGTAGCAAAACAGAAAGTTCAGAGCTAAGCACCCAGTAGTAGGAGAGGGGCCTCCCCTGCAGGGCTGCCTCACTCCAGAGCCACCCCACAGCCCTGCTGCTCTCCCACCGTGCTACTCCATAACTAAACTGTAACACTATTGAGCTATTCCATAGTTGTACTGTTTTCACAGCTGTGCTGTATCACATTTGAGGTGTTTCCACTGAAAAGAATTTTTCTTTTTTCCTAAACATTTTATTTATTTCTTTATAGAGAGGGGAAGGGAAGGAGATAGGGAGCAAGAGAAACATCAGTGTGCCATTGCCCCTCAAGTGCCCCCCACTGGGAACCTGGCCTGCAACACAGGCATGTGCCCTGACTGGGAGTCAAACCAGTGACCCTCTGCTTCACAGTCTAACACTCAACCCACTGAGTCACACCAGCCAGGGCCAGAATTTCTCTCTTCACCACACCCCAAATTGGGGATTCCTGTTGGCACTGAATTGGTGCCAACAACCATTGGTTAATATTACTCTATCCTGAAACTCATAGTGATTCATGTCAATTATATCTCAACAGAACTGAGAAAAACAAAATAAAACAAAACAAATAAAAATAGTTGCAGAAAGTCATCATATATAAACAGATCAAGGAGTCTGGGTCAGAAAGGATAGCTAAGTCCCATCCTAGATCCTCTAGGAGCCCAGTTACAGATTACCATAATAACCTATAATGTGGAAGTATATTTGTCAGTAAATCTGGAACACTTTGAGAAAAATAACCCTTCCTATATGCCCAAAATGTCACAAATAAGCTGGACACAAATTCCTGAGTGCCACATTAAGAGCTATCTCAACAGAATTTAATATATGAAACATATAAAGAGCCCCTTACAAAACAAACAAACAAACAAACAAACTGTGGTGGTACTAACTATTGCTCATGGTGACTAAAATTATCTTATCAGTTTATTCACTTAAAGAATGAAACATGCAACTTCCAGCCAAGATGGAGGCATAGGTAGACACACTGTGCCTCCTCACACAACCAAGATAGGGACAACAACAATTTAGAAACAGAATAACAACCAGAACTGACAGAAAATTGAACTGTATGGAAGTTGGACAACCTAGGAGTTAAAATAGACACACTCATCCAGACCGGTAGGAGGGGCGGAGTCGGGCAGCTGGGCAGAGAGGGGTCTTGTGGCACAAAGAACGTTGGGACCAGGTGTGCAAAACTGCAGTGGGTGGACCCTGGGTGCATAAGCAGTGGCTGGCAGACCCTGGCCAAGGGGTGGCAACCGGCAGACCCAGCAAGGCGGCGATTGTGAGCCAAGGCACCGTGCGCAACCCAGAGTCCCAGCACTGGGAAATAGAGCCTTGGGGCACTGATTGAAGCCACCTGTGGGGGGTTGCGGCACAGGGAGAGACTCCCACCCTCACAGGAGAGGTCATTGGAAAGACCCATGGGGTGCACAAGCCCACCCACACAGGAATCAGCACCAGAAAGGTCCAGGTTGCTTGGGGGAAGCAGCAGAAGGAACTGACGTCCGATGGAGAGTGGAGCAAGCACCATTATTCCCTCTCAGACCCCACCCCCACATACAGCGTCATAACCCAGCCACTGGGTTGTCCTGCCCTGGTGAACACCTAAGGCTCCGCCCCTCATATGTAAAAGGCATGACCAGACGCCCCCCCCCCAAAAAAAAAGATGGCTCAAACAGAAGAAGAAATGAAAGCCCCAGAACCAATCCTTTTAAGCGACTGAGAGATAGCCAACCTATCAGATGCACAGTTCAAAACACTGGTGATCAGGATGCTCACAGAATTGGTTGATTTTGGTCACAAATTAGACGAAAAAATGAATGCTACAACAAGTGAAATGAAGAAAATGCACAGGGAACCAATAGAGATGGAAAGAAAACTGGGTCTCACATCAATGGAGTGGACCAAAAGGAAGAAAAAAACAACCAATCAGAAAAGAATGAAGAAATAAGAATTCAAAAAAATGAGGAGAGGCTTAGGAACCTCCAGGACATCTTGAAATGGGCCAACATCTGAATTATAGGGGTAACAGAAGGAGAAGAGGAAGAGCAACAAATTGAAAACTTACTTGAACAAATAATAAAGAACTTCCCCAATCTGACAAAGGACATAGACTTTCAGGAAGTCCAGGAAGCTCGGAGTTCCAAAGAAGTTGGACCCAAGGAGGAATACACCAAGGCACATCATAATTGCATTAGCCAAGGTAAAAATGAAGGAGAGAATCCTAGAAGCAGCAAGAGATAAGGGGACAATAACCTACAAAGGAGTTCCCATCAGACTGTTAGCTGATTTCTCAAAAGACACCTTACAGGCAAGAAGGGGCTGGAAAGAACTATTACAAGTCATGAAAGGCAAGGACCTACATCCCAGACTGCTCTATCCAGCAAAGCTTTCATTTAGAATGGAAGGGCAGATAAAGTGCTTCTCAGATAAGGTCAAGTTAAAGGAGTTCATCATCACCAAGCCCTTATTTTATGAAATGTTAAAGGGACTTTTCTAAGAAAATGAAGATCAAAAACATGTATAGTAAAATGACAGCAAACTCACAATTATTAACAACCACACCTAAAACAAAAACAAACTAAGCAAACAACTAGAACAGGAACAGAACCACAGAAATGGAGATCACATGTAGGGGTAGCAACAGGGGAGTGGGAAGAAGAGAGAGGGGGGAAAGTAGGGAGAATAAGTAGCATAGACAGTAGGTAGAAAATAGATAGGGGGAGGGCAAGAATAGTATGGGAAATGTAGAAGCTAAAGACCTTATAACACATGGACATGAACTAAAGGGGGAATGTGGGTAGGAGAGGGTGTACAGGGTGGAGGGGAATGAAGGAGGTTAATGGAACAACTGTAATAGCATAATCAATAACATATATTTTTTTTAAAAAGAATTAAACATGCCCTGGCTGTTGTTGCTCAGTGGTTTGAGTGCTGGCCTGTGAACCAAAGGGTTGTTGATTCAATTCCCAGTCAGGGCACATGCCTGGGTTGAGGGTCAGGTCCACAGTGAGGGGGCATGTGAGAGGCAACCACACAATAATGTTTCTCTCCCTCTCTTTCTCCCTTCCCCTCAGTCTAGAAATAAATAAAATCTCTTTTAAAAGAATGAAACATTATGTTGCTTATAGAAGTTAGCATTTAAATCCATTGTCAGGTACAATGTCTAGGCACTATTGCATTCATCAGTCACCAGACAAGGCACTAGGGGGCATTTTGAAAGTGAAAGATCTAGGGCCTGATCTCAGGGCAGCTGTAGATACAATGCCAATGTGGGAAGCCCTGGGCAGCATGAGGGACTTGGTTGCTGGGGGGAAAGATTTATATCAAGGGCTGGTCATGCTCCCACTCTAAGGACCTGGAGAAAAATCTATAATTAAGGCAGAATACAAAAGGCAAAAGATTCAATGAGCTACTCACAAATCTGATTACTATGGTGACTAAACAGAAAAAGAGCCCTGACATTTCCCCTTACCTCTGCCATCAAATTTCCTAAAATGTACAGAGACTGACCCCACATATGAGGCAACTTGCCCATGGGTACTCGGTCCACAGTGTGAGGATTTTGATATTCTTCATCAACCTGAAAGAAAAGATATAAAGAGACCACATGAAGGGTAATGGAAGGTTTAAGATACTAGGCAACAAAAAGGCGCAGTCTGGGTTGTGACTCATACCCTCTAAAACAGTTACATATGCAATGCATTGAAAAGTCAAACACTATGACTGCAGTCTAGGGCAATACTCCTCTCATTGTATGTGACAAACAAATCACCTAAGGATCTTATCCAAAGGCAGATTCTGACTGAGTAGGTGTGGGGAAAGGCCTGAAATCTGCATTTCTATCAAGCTCTCTGGTAATGCTGTTGGTATTACTAGGGGCTTATTCCCCCCATCCCCACCAGAATGGAAGATTGCATCTCTCCCATGGCTAATATTCTTTTGCAATGGAGAAGAAAAGCAATGGTACTCCACAGTGGCACTTCAGGAAAATGGAGATATACTTTTTTCCAAGACTGCTATTCAAACTATCCCAGATTTCTGGCCTCAGAGCAAGGAATTATCAAATCCTGAAAGTTCACAGAGAACATCACTCTGGTTCCATCTACTGATCTTCATATCATTCTCCAAGTTAAGTTTTGGTCTTTTTAGAAAATCAATCACTGAACAATTAATTTTATTTTCTTAAATTGAGTTATGGTTGACATACAAAAAGGCCATATATATTTACTGTATCAATCACAGTGATTTTGAGGATATATATATATACCTTTGAAATTAGTACCCTAAGATTTGGTCTTACCCTTGTCTTGCTGTGCAACAATGTCTGGAGACTGCTTTAAACACTTATTTTTAAGGGAACAAAATTCTACTTTTATTGTCCTATACCTAAAGACAAACTTCCAGAATATGAAAATCAGAAGATGGAAAGAAATATTTGACTTAAATGAGGCAGTCCTATCAGGGTACTGCTCATCTTCTCCCAGCTCCATGCTCCGGTACTGTCCTGCTCACCTTGTCAAGGGGAACACTGTACAGCTCTGGCAGAAGTGGGACTCCATTTTTGCCCTTGATGAGGACTTCTTCAAGAGCCTCTCTATATTCTTGAACCTGTAGTTATAAGAAAGGGGAAAAAAGTAGAGAAAGTTCCCTTTGGTGATCTAGGGAAGGGCTGTAGCCAAAGAAGGTTCTATTGAAAAAGGAACATGTTCACCTAGGAAAAGTGAGAAGAAAGGGACGTAGCAGTTACTAAATGCTTATTGTAGGCTACATACTATGCTAGGAGTTTTGCATGCTTGAATACATTTTATTTCAATAATCATCCTAGGAGGTATGTATAATTACAAACCTTTTACGGGGAAAATAAGGCTCTAAGAGGTTATGAATTTGTGGAAGATCACACAGCAAATGCAAGGTTAACTCCAGATTTGAGTCCAAGTAAGCCTGCCTCCACAGGCCTATTTCTATCCATTATGCACTATCCTAAGGATAGTTTCTTCACTCTATAAGTACTGGTTTTTAAAACTCTATCTTACCTGCCAAATTAAGTTTATGTTATGGTCAAGTTTATTTTTTGTTGTTGTTGTTGTTTAACAATTTGTTATACACTAGTAATACATAAAAAGAAAAAAAACACACTATAATTAGTGGTAGAAAACATACAGTCAGCTCTTCTATAACAGTTATTTTGAAAACAGAAATTTGTTCCAATGCGCGTATATATTAGCGCATAACAATTTCAGCATAACATGAATTTCACATATGCTTATGCACAATTTCAACTGAGAACACATTTAGCTGAACTGAGTAATAAAGATTATAGAAAACATGTATGTACACATACCTCAAGAGGATAATGAACAACACCATTTGTCTGTGGTGTTATAACTTTCCACCTGATTTTAGATAACCCCCTTTCCATCACTTCATAACTCCTGAGCTGCTCTTTTCTCCTGACCACCCTGGCTGAATGGCTCTGTGCTTTCCTTTCTCTTCAGTCCCCCATCTTTCTTCTCAGTCTATTTTTAGTCTTCCTCTTTGTTCTATGTTCTTTTTATATTTCCTCTCTTTTGCTAGCTGTCTTTTGTTCTCTTCCTCTGGCACACAAGGTGGTTGGCTTGGGAGCCAGCATGAACTGGTAGAAATGTAGGTGCACATATCCACAAGCAAATTTCATGTCTTTTCAAGGCATAAGGGTCATATTTATTGTATTTCTTAATCATTTAACTTGTATAAAGCTGTGATACTATTTTTATTAGGGTCCTATCATTTTGTATGTACTTCTGACCAACTTTATAAATGTTGTGCCTCAACCTTATTTTCCCATAATCCCCATATTTTTTATTTTTCAAATATGTAGAGCATGGTGATTTTTAAGAAACATATGTCTCATTATAGTTTAACTGATTCTAACTTCCACTTACAACTTGTCTTTATCTTTAAAATTCAAAAAATTTTAGAGAAGGTATTCTCATTGTGTGCACAGAGAAACTGAAGAAGTCAATGACAATACTTGGATTATTCCATGGTCAGTAGTAAAGCCCATATATATACATAAATTTTTTTATATCTGTAGTAAAGCCCATATATATATATATATATATATATATATATATATATATATATATATAAATTTTTCAGGTCTTTCCAACCTGTTCTTGCTCCCATGTTCAAATAACCTAAATGTGCTTTATACTTAGTAGGTATATTTGATAAATGAATCTTTTTTTGAGCAACCAAAGTTTTTGATAAACAATTTTGTAGAATTTGAGAAGGACTGAGAAAAATGCTAGAATAAAATCAGGATGATGAAAATAGGGCAGGTTATTTTTATTATTGTTTATATTTGCTTGTTCAAAATGGATACTTTATAATTTAGTAAAATTTAGAGTAAAGGGCACTTGTGGCCCCTGAAACTTTATTTTTTAAATTTTTAAAATAATTTTTTAGATTTATTTATTTATTTGTTTTAAAGAGAGGAAAAGGGAGGAAGACAGAGAGGGCGAGAAACATCAGTTGGTTGCGCCCCCAACCAGGGATGTGGCCTGCAACCCAGGCATGTGCCCTGACTAGGAACTGAACCGGCAACTTTTTAGTTTACAGGCTGGCACTCAGTCCACTGAGCCACACCAGCCAGGGCTTGCCCCTGAAACTTTAGTGTAACCCTACCAAAATTGTATTTTAGGTAGCCAAGTATAAGTGACTTCCAACTGCGTTGGATTTGTGTCCAAGTTTAGCCCATAGCCAAATTGTAGAATTCCTGACACTAAACTTACTTGACTTAGTTTGTCAATCTCACTGTTTTCCAGTGATGGTTTCTAAACTACTTTATTCATATAGCTAAAAAAAGCAATGACTGTGTTTTGGGGGGTGAGGATAGGTGTGAGTAGAATGTTGTTTTTTTAGTATTATTATTTTTTGGCTAAAGTGAGAACAACATATCTAAGATTTATTTTTAAAAATATATACAAAGTCAAGAAGTAAATCTGAGTACCTGTAATGACTGTGGCAACTAGACAGGGCTTTCTATTTTGCTTTCTATATTTGTTAAAAGCAAAGTCTGAGTGATGGCAATATCCAAGCCTTCCAAATCCTAAAATTTAGTGCCCTCAACTATTAGACTCTAAAAGACAACTCTATTTCCTCCTTATTAAGGAAGATTTCCATTTGGGCACAGGGTTGGCAAAACCATTAACTGAAGGAGGAAGACGTAAGAACATTGTGTGAAAAAGTTCTTTCTCCAGTGTGTTACCTGTTCTGCATTGCCAGTGAAGACCCCATCAAGGATAAAGTAAGTCCAGAACAATGGCCATTCACACTCTATGTTTTCAAATAACTTCAGCTCAGCTGGTTCATAGTACAGACGATTGGGATCCTGGTAAAAGCATAATAAACATGTTCTGTCTTATCACTCCAAGGTCAGACATACACCTTTAGATCAGAGGTATTACAATATAAATTTTCACTATTGATAGTTTACTTCAGAGAAGTTAGATCACTTACATACTAAAACTTTGCCTTAGCAAGTACATTGTGATGTGACTTCCAACTACTAGAACTGGAATAATAATGAAACTACAGGCACATTTATGAAGAACTGAGATTAATCTTTAATAAACTTGAATTTGCTTTTGTATTTCTTAAGTTTTAGAGAGCAACACAAAATAAAACAGAAATGTTTAGAAAATAGCAAGGGATGAGGGTATGCAATATAGGAGCACCTAAAGACATAAAGAAAGTCTTGGTGAACTTTAAGGGAGAGATCAACAGTAATACAGTCATAGTAAGGAATTTTAAGACCCCCACTGTCATCAATAGATGGATCTTCCAGATAAAAAATCATCAATAAACAGTGACCACAAATGAGACACTGGATTGAATGGATTTAATTTATATTTACAGAACATTTCATCTCAAAGCACCAGAATGTATATCCTTCTCAAGTGCACATGGAACATTCTCAAATATGCACCACATGTTAGGAAACAAAATAAATCTAAACAAATTCAATAACATTGAAAAAATATTAAGCATTTTCTCAGATCATAATGACATGAAACTAGAAATCAACTTCAGTGAGAAACTCAAACACAACCACATACATGAAAGCTAAATAGCATGTTATTCAACAATGAATGGGTTATCAGTGAGATCAAGGAATAAATAAAAAATTATCCAGAAACAAATGAAAATGAACACTCAACAACCCCAAACTTGTGAGACATTGTGAAACCAATCCTGAGAGGAAAGTTCATAGCATTACAGGCCTATCTCAGGGAGCAAGAAAAATCTCAAATGATCTAACCCTAGCCTAAAAGAACCAGAAAAAACAAAGCACAGAGAGAGTAAAAGGAAGGAAATAATATAGATCAGAGTGAAATAAATGACATAGAGACTTAAAAAAATTACAAAGATTTTAAAAAACCAAGAGCTAGTTCTTTGAAGAGATAAACAACAGTGATGAACCTTTAATCAGACTCAAGAAAAAAAGAGGACCCAAATAAATAAAATCAGAAATGAAAGAGGAGAAGTAACAACTGATATCACAGAATTGCAAGGAATTGTAAGAAAATACTATGAACAACTATATGCCAACAAATTAGACAAACTAGGCTCAATGGATAAATTTTTAGAAACACACAATCTTCCAAAACTGAATCAATAAGAATGAGAAAACCTAAATAGATTCATTATAACCAATAAAATAACAGCAGTAATCAAAAAAAAATCCCAGCAATCAAAATTCCCGGTCCAGATGGCTTCAAAAGTGAATTTTACAAACATTCAAAGAAATAAAACCTATCTGTGTCAAACTATTTCAAAAAATTCAAGACAAGGGAAGGCTTCCAAGCTATTTTTACAAAGCCAGCATTATCCTAATTCCAAAACCAGATAAAGACACTACAAAGAAAGAAAATTCTAGGCCAATATCCTTGAGGAATATAAATGCTAAAGCCCTCAACAAAATATTAGCAAATTGGATCCAGTGATACATTAAAAAGATTGTATACACTATGATCAAGTGGGATTTATCCCAAGAATGCAAGGTTAGTACAATATTCACAAATTGATAAATGTGATACATCATATGAATGAAATGAAGATAAAAATTACATGATCATATCAATAGATGCAAAAAAAGCGTTTGATAAAATCCAGCAAACGTTTATGATAAAAACTGTCAGCAAAGTGGGAATAAAGATAACATACCTCAACGTAATAAAGGTCATGTATGAAAACATGCAACAAACAGTATACTCAGTGGGCAAAAACTAAGAGTTTACTTTAAGATCAGTAACAAGATAGGGATGTCTGCTTTTACCTCTCTTATTCAACATAGTAGTGGAAGTCCTAGCCACAGTAATTAGAGAAGAAGAAGAAATGAAAGGCATCCAAACTGGAAAGGAAGAAGCAATACTCTCATTCTTTTCAGATGACATAATACTGTACACAGAATACCCTAAAGACTTCACCAAAAAACCACTAGACTTAACAAATGAATTTGTCATAGCAGTATGATACAAAAATAATATTCAGAAATTGATGGCATTTTTGTACACCAATATGAACTATTGAAAAGAGAACCTAAGAAAACAATCCCATTTACTATTGCAAAAACAACAAAAATAAAGTACCTAGGAATAAATTTAACGAAGGAGGTAGAAGATCTGTAATCAGAAAACTATAGGACACTGAAGAAAGAAATTGATGAAGATACAAATAAGTGGAAGCATATACCGTTTCATGGATTGAAAGAGTTGACATTATTAAAATGTCCATACCACCCAAAGCAATCTACAGATTCAATACAATTCCTATTGAAATGCCAATGGGATACTGCACTGATCTAGGACAAATATTTTAAAAATTTACATGAAACCAAAAAAGAACCCAAATAGCCTCAGCAATCTTGAGAAAGAAGATCAAAGTTGGAGTGATCACAATACTGGATATCAAACTATACTAAAAAGCCACTGTAATCAAACAGCCTGGTACTGGTATAAAAACTGTCATATAGATCAATGGAACAGAACAGAGAGTCAGAAATCAACCCATGCCTTTATGGTCAATTAATATTTGACAAAGGAAGCAAGAACATAAAATGGAGTAAATATAGTCTCTTTAATAAGTGGTGTTGGGAAAATTAGAGGGTACATGCAAAAAAATAAAAGTAGACCATCTTATACCATCCATAAGAATAAACTCAAAATGGATAAAAGACTTATATGTAAGCCCCAAAGCCATAAAAATCTTAGAAGAACACACAGGCCATAAAATATCCAACATCTCATGTTAGCAATATTTTTGCTGATATTCCTCCTAGGGCAAGGGAAACAAAGGAAAAAATAAACAAGCAGGACTACCATATATTTTCAAACTATAAGACACACATTCCCCCCCAAAATTTGGGAGGAGTAATGGTTGTTAATGCTGCTGTTGAGTTCTGTTTACATTTACACTGGTAAAATATTATGTTATTTATGTTATTAAGTATTTTACTACATTTTTTGATTCAAAAATTACTTTTCCTATTTCCCTCCTCTAAAACCTAGGTGTATCTTATGGTCCAAAAAATATGGTATATTAAACTAGAAAGCTTCTGCACAACAAAAGAAACCATCAACAAAGTGAAAAGGGAACCCACTATACAGGAAATATGTTTGCCTATGATATATATGATAAGAGATTAATTTCTAAAATATATAAAGAATTTATAGAATTCAACACCAGGAAGACAAAGAATCCATATACAAAAATGGGCAAGGGACCTGAATAGACACTTCTCCAAAGAGGACATACAAATGGCCAACGGATATGGAAAATGCTCAATGTCACTAATCATCAGAAAGATACAAATTAAAACCACAATGAGACACTCACCTCATACCTGCCAGAATGGATGCCATCAATAAATCAACAAACAATAAGTACCAGCAAAGATATGGAGAAAAAGGAACCCTAGTGCACTGTAGGTGGGAATGCAGACTGGTGCAGCCACTATGGAAAACGGTATGGAGTTTCCTCAAAAAACTAAAAATGTAACTGCCTTTTGGCCCAGCGATCCCAGTTCTGGGAATATATCCTAAGAATCCTGAAACACTAATTCAAAAGAATATATGTACCCCTATGTTCATTGCAGCCTTATTTACAACAATAACCAAGATTTGAAAGCAGCCCAAGTGCCCATTGGCAGATGAGTGGTTAAAAAAGCTGTGGTACACTTACACGATGGAATACTACTCAACCATAAAAACAAAGGAAATTTTACCCTTTGCAACAGCATGGATAGACCTGGAAAGTATTATGATAAGCAAAATAAGCCAGTCAGAGAATGACAAATACCACATAATCTCACTTATATGTGGAATCTAATGAATAAAAGAAACTGTTGAACAAAATAGAAACAGAGGTATGGATACATGGACTGAGAGCTATCAGAGGAGAGGAAGGAGGGGGACTGGATGAAAGAAGATGAAGGGATCAGCCAAAGAACATACATACATAACCCATAGACACAGACAACAGTGTGCTGATGGGCTCAGGGAAGCAGGGTGATAGGTAGATGGAGGTGGGCAAAGGGGGAAAAACAAGGACAACTGTAATAGTATAACCAATAAAAATAAAGTTAAAAAACAATTCTAAATGACATTTCTTTCAGTACAATTTTTCTCTATTTTCTAAGGTAATAAGATAGTACTTCCATAATAAAAAATTATAAAGAAACAAAAAGAGATGAGGGTTAGGAACCATCCTTGTGAGGTGATACGTGAAGCAAAAATTATACATGCAGTACGTATACATAATGAATGAACAGCCAAAGAACAGATTCTTGGAAAACCCTAACAGTTTGGTAAGTGATGAACAGAAAGAGGAAAAGAATTAGGGTGGTGCAATGTTGTGAAAACTGAAAAAAGAGTTTCATGAATACATAGGGGTAGGTAACACTGATGTGCTACAGAGAAGTCAAGTGGGATAAGGATTGAGGAAGGACTATTGGATCAGTCACTTAGTAGATTATGATAATGTTTCAGAGTATAATTTTAGTAGATTGGTAGGGGCAGAAGTCAACAGTGCTAAACAATAAAATTTAAGAGAGGAAGTAGACCACAAGGGTTGAGCTCAATGATTTAAAAAAATTATTATAATGGCTCTCAACCAGCAAATCTAAGCATTAAATGTCTATTTTGTCAGTGAAAGTGCTTCTTACTGATCATTCATTCCTGTTAATAATGCTTTTCTTTCTTTTTTTTTATAAGCCAGGTGGTGAAAGACAAATACCATATGATCTCACCTATAAGTGGTAGGATGGAGCATGGGAGGTGGGGATGGCTGGGGGTGGGGGGGGAATGGTGGTGGGGAAAATGGAGACAACTGTACTTGAATAACAATAAAAATATTTTTTTAAAAATACTTAATTTTCTTAATTGATAATTCCAAGGAGAAATTTTTAAATATATTTTTTAAATGTTCAATTCTAACCTGAGGACATGATCATTCATTTTAGAGAGGAGGAGATAGATAGATAGATAGATAGATTGATAGATAGATAGATAGATGATAGATAAACATTGATGAGAGGGAAAAACATCAATCGGTTGCCTCCTGTGTGCAGGGATGGAACCCACAACCTAGGAATGTGCCCTGATTGGCAAACAAATTCATAATCCTTTGGTGCACAGGATGATGCTCCAATCAACTGAGCCACCAGGCCAGGACTCAATGAAAACTTTTAACAAGTGTCACACAAGGAAATTAATTTTTTGAGATCATGAACTGTTTAGAACTAACCAACTGCAAAACATGGAAGGGAGCCAGAAAAATTTGATGGAAAGATTTTACACTATATCATTATTAAATATTTCAGGGGAAGATACTTTGAGACTATGCAAATATTGTGTTTCTGCTTAAGCTTTCATCCACTGATTTCAGCATCTAACCTGAAACTAACCAACTGCAAAAATTGGAGTAACTATACTTCCTCTATTTTATTTAATTCAGAAAAGATGACAAACAGAACTTGGCTACTAAGTCCAACAAAAGTAAAAAATATCACCTATTGTTAATCCTATTTAGTCATACTTTAAATACCATGAATGAGGTAAGTATTTTCTCTGAATGAGGCTGCATATAAGTAGTGTACATTTTACCTCGGAATCATTTTGGGGAGAAGAAACCTACCTCTTTAGGAGTTTTATATCCATCTCGAAGAAAGCGGCAGCAACCATAACGACCCTAGGAATGCAGAGACAAAAGGTCAGAAGTATGCACATTGGTTCAGCCATAAAATTATTCAGAAATACATCATTTGTTGTAACCCTTATAAATATTTACCCACTCAATATAGGAACATCTAAATATATAAAGCACATCTTGATGGACATAAAGGGAGAGACTGACAGTAATAGTCATAGTAGGGGATTTCAATATCACATTGATATCAGTGGACAGAACTTCCAGACAGAAAAGCAACAAGAAAAGAGTGGTTTTACATGACACACCAGTCATATGGATTTAATTGATTTTAAATTAATTTTTCACCCCTATATTCACTGAAGCATTACTTAAAGTAGCCAAGCTATGGAAGCACCCAAGTGCCCATCAATAAATGAGTGGATTAAAAAAAGCTGTAGTACACATATACAATGGAATACTACTCAGCCATAAAAAAGAATAAAATCTTACCATCTGCTACAGCAAATGGATGGTCCAAATGGATGGACCTAGAGGCTATTATGCTAAGTGAAATAATTCAGTCTTAAAAAAACAAATACCAAATAATTTCACTTATATGTGGAATCTATAGAACAACATAAACAATAAAATAGAAACAGACTTATAGATACAGAGAACAGATTAATGGTTACCAGATGGGAGGGGTTTTGGGGGACTAGATGGAAAAGGTGAAGGGACTGAGAAGTATAGATTGGTGGTCACAAAATAGTCATGGGGATGTAAAGCACAGCATAAGGAATATATTATACTATGTATGGTGCCAGGTGGGTACTGGGAATGTCAGGGGGAATACTTTGTAAATTATATGATTGTTTAACCACTATGAACCTGAAACTAATACAAAATAATATTGAATATAAACTATAATTGAAAAATAAAAACAAAATACATCTTTTGCAACAGCTACATGTGCCAACCCATCACCAATACAAACACAATAATTAAAAAAGTAATAATTTGGAGATCCAAGATGGCATAGGAGTGGAAGTTACACTAACCTCCTCCCAGAACTAATCTGGAAGTACAGCTAAATTGTGGAGGAATCATCCAGAATAAACAACTGTACAATAGTGAGAGAAAAGCCTTATAGCCATGGACTGACAGAAGAAACAGCTTCAGCAAAACCTGACTGGTACAGAAATCGGAGGAGACACCAAAGGGCTGGCCGGGCACCCACAGGCAGCAGCTGAAGAGCCAGAGGGATATTTAAGCAGCCAGCTGGATTCCCCTGAGAAGTGCAGGGTCTAAACCCTAAGCTGGGATCCCCAGTGTAGAGAACCAGAGCCTGAAAAGTACACATATAACATCTAGCTGCAAAAGCAGCAAGGTTTCTCTCTGCCAGAGATGGACAGCTGGAGAAGCAAAGAGCTGTTTAAAGGGTCAACACATAAATTTTCATTTGCAGCCACTTACCCTGGGCTCTGGCAAAGGGTGGGGGCAAAGTGGGCTAGATATGCTTGAGGGGAGACTGGCGACAGAGGCTTTGGGGAGAGGAGTCAGTAGCTGCCAGGTTCTTGGTGTTGAGTCATCCCCCATAAATGCCCAACAGGCAGTCATTGGTGCTCAGGCAGACCACTCCCCTTCAAGTGACAGCAACAGCCCCCACCCCAGGAGGGATTCTGTCTCACCCTCTGGTGCTTAAGCCTGACTACTGAGTGCAGATTGACTAGACTAACAACTGAAGGAGTCAGCCACAGACAGTAGATCCCTGGTAGTCTCCAACAGGCTGCCTAAGGCCAGACAAGGTCACCATCTGACATCACCAGAGGTGGATCCAGAAAAGAAAAAAAAAAACAATGGTAAAAACTAGATGCTACTGAGACGAAATCCACCATGGTCTTTCCCTGATTTGTGATATTTTCTTTCCTGCATAGATTGGTAACATTCATTTTTTTGTCCTTCAAGTTTGTGTATATGAAGTCACTAGATTTTATATTATAGTTTATTTCAATTAACACATTTTGCTCCTCCCTTCTCTTACCCCATTTTACCTTCTTCTTGCCTCATAATTTTCATTTTAAATTTTGTTTTCTCTCTTGCTACAACTTGTTTCCACTCTGCACTCTTAATAGTTCTCCCCCATCCAGCCTCACAAAACCAATTTTCTTGTCAATGGTCATCTCACATTCTTTTTCCCACTCCTAAAATACCCGCATTCTCTTTCCACCTTTAGCAACCTTTGTTCATTGGTTATGGATAGGGTTGTTGCTGAATTTTTTCAGCTTTATCTCTAGATCTTCACTATTTTTGTATTTCAAATCTCAAATATTACTGTTCCCTTCTCTTACTTTTTTTAGTCTCAAATTTAAATTTTTCCCTGTCTTAGCCTGGTTTTCGTTCCTCTCTCTTAGTGTTCCATCTCTCTCTATCATCTCAAAATCACTTCCCTTTCCTCTAGACATTTCTTAAGCTTTTCTTTCTTTCTTTTTCCCCTCTTACTCCCATTCTACCTATATTAATTTTAGCTTATTTGTTGTTGATAGTGCTGGGGTGTATCTTTCTCTCCAATTTGGTTCTTATTTATTTATTTATTTATTTATTTATTTATTTTCCTTTTTCTTTCTCTCTCTCTCTTTATTTTACTTTTTAAAATTTCTGTTTAAACTTAATACTGTATGCTTCCCTTCTCTCACTCCATTCTGCCTTCTTCATTCTCTATTTTATTTATGATGTAAATTTTACTTTCTCTCTTCAAATTCCTCCAAACCCTATTCTTATTAGTGCTCTTCCCTCTACCCTCTCAAAATCATTTTTCTTCCAGTAGGTCATTTCATATTTCCTCTTTTTTCTTATAATAGCCTTAATCTCTTTACACCTTTATTAATACTGGTTCATTTGCTGTTGATAGTGGGATTGTGTGTGGGAGTTATTTCTGTAGGTGTGGGTTTGTTTCCTTGGCTTTGTGTGTTTGTTCTGGCAGCATCTGCACAACAGCATACAAGATGTGGTGGGTGGAGTGACTCTCAGTCAACCAGATGTAGGGAAGGACCCACCAAAGAACAACCCAACAACAATCAAAAACAAACAAATTACATCCAGAGAGCCAACACAAATGGCATAAAGGGCATCCCCAGAGCATCAAATTCAGGTGATCAAGGAGACTGCACCACTGAATCACACAGGTCTCCTACCACAGAAGTTCACACCACATAGACAGAGAGTCAAAGCATATAAATTTAAGAAGTAGAAGCAAACAAGAACAGTCTCCCCTAAAATGGGGAGACAAAGAGACAATCCCCAATGGAAGGGAAAGGAGGAATCCCCAGAAAGAGTGCTAAATGAAACAGAGGCAAGTAAGCTATCAGACATTGAGCTCAAAACAATGCTTATAAGAAAGCTCAATGAGCTAAGTGAAAATTACCAAAAACTACAGAGAAGGTACAAGGAACTTACTGTGAACTATATCAGCATGAAATAGGACATAGAAACTATGAATAAGAGCCATGAGGAAATGAAGAATACAATTTCAGAATTGAAGAACACAGGAGAAGGAATTAAAAGTAGGCTCAGTGAAGCAGAGGATTGAATGAGCAAGCTAGGGAACAAGGTAGAAAAAAATTCCCAGAAAGAGCAAGAAAAGGAAAAAAGACTCAAAAAGAACGAAGAAGAGTTAAGGGAGCTGCCAGACAACATGAAACATAATAATATCCATATAATAGGGATACCAGAAGAAGAGGAGGAGCAGGGATAGAAAACATGTTTGAAAAAGTAATGACAGCAAATTTCACTTGAGAGCAAGAAGTAAACCCCAAAAAGCATCTATACATGCCATCATTCACTATTTACCATGCCCTTTCTGTGAGCAGTAGTACAGAATCTTCATCTATAAACTTACCCTGGAAAAATTTTCCAAATGGTTTTGCTTACAGACTGAACAATGCGAGAAAGTGTTTGTGACCTCTCTTTTCCCATTAATGTTCAAAAATTGGAAAAGGACATAGGTAGTCCAATACTCTTAAATTGTGACAAGCCAAAAAAGGGGTTTTTTCCCTCTGTAACATGAAATAAAACTCCATATAGCAAAGTCAATTAAATAAATTGTTTTGGGGCTATAGAATTAAAAAATGTCAACCCAGTAAAAGAAAGCCAAGATATCCTACAGGCATTCTGAATTTTATGAGAAGTAGAAAGTCTCCCCCCAAATCCCACAGAATGAACAGCATGCACTTTACAACTAGTGAGAAAACAATCAGGTAACACTGAATTTATGCAAAATACACAGACACTCACAGATGATGCAGTCTAGCCCTTCCCTTTACAGACAAGGTCACTGAGTCCCAGGAAACAACAGCAACACACCAGCTGCCTCACAGAAAGCAAATGGCAGAGTCAGAGCTAGAACTCTGGTGTCCTGATGCCCCTTACACAGCTCTATCCATTCCACCACAGAATTCTCTTCATCCAGGCACCAGATACCATGTCAAGAAACTCCATCTTTTAAGTTCCAAATGCCTTTGAGTTCCAAAGATGTCTATTTTAAAAACAAAAGTGCCCCCTCAAACAAATCCCAAGCCATTATACTTTTCTCTTAACCCTTGAGAAGGTGAATTTTCATTCTCTTCCAGTGTCAGGGTTTGAAGGAAGCCATACACATAAGATGCTAGTGTTAGTAAAGTACTCTCTTCAGGAATAAGAAAGAAAAAGAGAAGAAAATAAGAAAAGGCAGAACCTGCAAAAAATGAAACAGAATCCAGTCCCTGTACTTGGGTGCAAGATCTGGAACTCACTTTCTTCCTTTTACAATCTGAGTTTCCTCCCAAGAAGCACTCACCAACCTAACACCAACACTTTTATTTTTAATTAAATTTATTGGGATGATATTGGCTAATAAGATCATACAGGTTTAAAGTGTACATGTCTATGATGAATAATCTGTATCTTGCATTGTGCACCCACCACCCAAAGTCAGATCATCTCCCATCACCATATATTTGACCCTCTTTACCCTTTACTACTCCCCCTAGAGAATATGTGGACAGGAGTCTAGGTAATAATGGGTA